CGAATACGTGAGCCGCCAACGGCAACTGGTAGATGGCACAGCCATCACGATTGCGCGAGCCCCTACCAGAAATTCGTTGCGCCGCCCTTGGAGGTAAAAAACGGTGAAAGCTAACGTACGAAATCAGAGGGCAGCACACGGTGCGATCGCGCGATCCTGCCCGTGAGCAATTTCCCAACTCATCTCTGGCATAAACTGTGCTTGATGTAAGATTGATGCTATCTCGATTGTGTAAACTCGACTGTAGATTGCAGCGCTAGTGCATTGGAACTATCTCCTCAATGCATGCACGCCTAGATATGATTTTGAGTATTCTAAGGAAATGCAAATTCATCGCTTACGGTTGTTGTCCGTTATCGGTAGATTCTAACCCCCTGACATTTCAGGGTTTCAGGTTTTGCGTTGTTTCGTGGCAATTGGGATCAACGAAAAGGTTAGGTCCTTGAGTTGGAAAACGCGATCTCTAGGGCGATCTGGTCGTCGAACGTGCAAATGTCCACCCCGGAAGTGAATACCCCAGAGGATACGTTGTCGATGGTTGTCAAGCTTTCATCCCACAATGGAGAGGAAAAGCTCCGTAATGAGAGGACCGGGCGACTGATTTAGAGGGTGCAGAGGAAATGGAGCCCCCGTTGGAGTGAAAGAACGTTCAGTGGTCTCCTGGCTTAAAGGCTGCCAGCTTCGCAGAGCTCTCCGAGGAGCTGAGATTTTCATCGTTCCTCCATCGTAAGCACAGTGTACACCATGGTGCACATACCGAGTGCTTATGCCTACAACTTCTGGGCAAAAACCCCTACAGAGGTGGTAGAGCTCACGTGTCTTATGCCCAATGGAGTCGTTATTCCATTTGAGACAAATCGCAACACTACGCTCGCTGAGATCAAGGAGGTAAATGTTATAGCAGTTGCGATATCGGTCCTTGATTAAATGAGTCACTTTCTTTAGGATCTCTGGGACGAAGCTAGCAAATATCCATTGCACGGGACATTGAGGGATGCCCCGTCGTATGTTTTCTCTTGTATTAATGCCAATGCAGAGGCTGAAGAGTTGCAGGACGAAAGCAGACGACTCTGTGACATTAAGCCCTTTTGCTCGGTGCTCAAGGTTATCGAGCGCGAAGGTGTGAAGGGCGATAGGAACCTAGACTCACAGATTGGTTTACTGATCGGCAAAGGCTTACATGAATTCGCTGCGTTAAAGAATTCGGAAGTAAATGACTTCCGCTGGAAAATGAGAGTACTCGGAGACGAAATTTCCCTCAGTAGACAGAAGAAATCGTGGGTAGAGAAAGTGCAATATCAGTTTCCTTCGAGACTAGCTCAAAGTTCTGCGATACCTAAGAACATCGAGTCCAGGCTAAAGGATGGGAACATTGTTCTGGTTACTAAGTTTGAGAATACAGAGGTGAGTCGAGTAAATTACATGTCTTATGGTATTTATTAAGATGTGCAAAATATAATGCTATAGTAAAATTAATTATTCCTTCGGTTTACTGGATATGAATAACATGGGGTATGACTTTCCGTGCTCTGTATTTCTTTTGGCAGGGCGTTGAGGAGGATCTACTGTACCTGCAGTGAAATTGACACTTTTTTTGTCCTTCCGATCTGAGAAATCCGATATTGTTTTCTGGTTCAAACAAGACTTTGTGATATGTGATTTGTGGTAGAATTTGGTAGTATACTGTGGATGGGAATTTATCTCCTCGTTTGTTGCCTTTCCAATATTGTCAATTTTTTCAGTGAAATGTTTTGAGTTTGAGTATGCAATACTCGAGGTAGAATTATTTGTACGTAATGAAGGAATTGGTTCTGTTAAATCCATGTCAATCATGGTTTCATTCAAAAAACTGGATTCATGAGATTCTGCATTCATTCTTAGGGTTACATTGGCATTATTCTTCATATGAGTTAATGGTGGTTGATTTTTTGAAAGTTTTCGCAATGTGGTTTCCTCTGAAGTAATTGGCACGATACCTTTTGAGATTTCTATCTCCTGATCACATTCCTTAAACTCAGTTTCAGCTTGTAGATATTTTAAAACATTTGAAGATGAAGTTGTTGGATGAGATTTCAGGTAGTTTGTTAACACAGTCAATTTTGTCTGTAATGACAGTAGTAATGAACAACATACAGTTACTTACACAGTTAAAAAATAACCCTTTCTGTTTAAAATTACCTCTGTAATCATTGCTTTTTGCTTCCAGAATTTACGTTGTTTCTCTGCTCTGTATTTAGCTTCCTCTCGAAAGATATTATGGAGATACATGTCTTCGACCTTCTTCTCGAGCTTATCGATCTCTATTTTCTTTGTTTTTAACAGTGACTCTAGATAACTGAAATCGAATGTACCAATCATTTCTAAAATTATACATAGGAAGTATTTAAACAGTAGATTAATTACCTGCACGTTGAAGATAAAATTTCTGTATTGGGTTTGTCAGTTGCTTTGCTTTGTTCCTCTTTTAACTTCTGCTCTAGGTGGGAAATCCTGTTCTTGTATTCTCGTAAAAGCTCTTCATTTTCATCAGGTTCCTCGTCCTTGAAACTTTCTAATATTTTGGCAATTTTAAAATTAAGTCTATTAATTTCTGCTTCCTTTTCTGTTATTGTTCGCTTGGCAATTTTGTAAGCAGCGCGCAAGTCTTTCATTTCATTCAACATCTTTTGACGGCGATCTTCTACTTCCGCGAATATTGAATTGCCTGAAACATTGTCATATGTTATTTTGTATCCTATTTTTTTTATTCAATTTGAATGAGACAATCCACTGACCCTTTTGATCATCGCTTTGTGGCACAGTCTTCAAAGAGTTTAATTCCACTCTACACATGGAGAGTTCATCTTGAGTATTCTCAAGAACTTTACTCGTCTCTACCAGCTGTTCCTTCGTTACCTATGATTAGAACAAATGAAATATATTATTCTTATTTAGTAATGTTCAAATCTACCTCCATGGAACATTGAAACATGCCTTTAAAATTTCCTTGATCTCGCAACATTCATTTTCCAGGCTGGTTACAGTGCCCTGAAGTTGTAGTTGAACCTTGTCACGTTCAGTTATAATAGCCGTGAGATCACTAATTTTTTCCAGTAGGGGTGAAGTTAAATCTTCTGTAGTCTTTGAAGCCTCAAAAGTAGAATCAACAGGAGTAACTAATTTTTTCTGCTCTTCCATAACTTTCTCCAGCATGTCTTGCTTTAGCTTTATTTTTTCCTGCAGCTGATAGATCGTCTCTTCAAACTCCTTTATGTAGTTGTTCTTTTCAGCAGCAAACCTAATATTAAGAAATTTTAAATTGCAATATATCTGGTAATTCTAATTATTTTAGATGACGTTAACTTCTGTACTTTTCTCTTGCATCCTGCACTTTTTTATCCTCCAGGGCCAAAGACTGTTCGAGGAGAATGTTCCGTTCTTTAAGCTCCTTGTGCATCAAAGCGTCGATCTCCATTTTGCGATACACTTCGTGCAACTCTTGGCGAATAGCATCATTTTGTGCCGACAAATTTTCCACCTGTTTCCTCAAATCACCGAGTTCATCTCCACTTTCCACCAACACGGAACTCTCGTTACAGCTCAAGTTATTGGACATTATTCTCTGTAGAATATTTTCACAGTTTACCGTTTTCCTTAGTTAACACATTTTGAGGTTAGAAGCAAGTATATCTCAATGATGTTCAGTTTAATACCGTCCGCAACGTCGAAATCCACAGCGACTAGAAGAGTAATACTTACCCAAGGTGTAAATGTCAAAAGATCGTGTTTACTTCGTTAACATCTGGGCTTTTTTTGCATAAGAAATTGCTGACACCAACGGCCAGTCAAATTCAAAAACATAGCGTTGATTGGTGGATTGCATCGTTGTACGGTCGATAAAGCAGAAATCTCTTCAATTCAGTTTAAATTTTCAGTTTTTTCTTAATGAAAACATTAAATATTTCAGATCTTTCGCATTTCTTTAATAAATTTTAATTTCCTAAGAACCTGGGTTTATACATTTTCCCGATTTCTCCTCTGGAAAATGTTCAGAGTCATATGTATTTCTTTTCACTCTTCGGCTTTGGATCTTGTAATTAAGTTCTTTTTCCTTTATAATTTTAATTTTCGTTACTTCCAGACGGCGTTTACGTTCCAAATCTCCCACACGACAACTCCATATCAATTGCTGGTTCTGATTTTGAACAAAAGAGCGAACACCTTAATGTCTCGAGGAGAAAGACCTAATGACTTTACGTTGAAAGTGTGTGGCCAAGAGGAGTACCTCATCGGAGAATATCCACTTATTAAATTTAGCTACATACAGGAGTGTATAGCGAGAGATACTACACCTACGTTAGTGACGTTGGGTATAGACAGCATCCCTGTGGATCAGGAAGGCCCTTTCGAGAACCCTGAGTCGGATAATCTGAAACGTACAAGACCTCCCTTTTCGACGCTGACTCTGAGAAAGAAGGGCAAGCATATCTCTGCGTGGAAAATCGAGGATCAATTTGTATTCAATGTGAATGGGATCTCCAGATTGAACTGCGATGCAGCTCATCGCACTGTTGAGGTAGAGTCGATAACATTTTAAAGCAAATTTGATGTTCTAACAAACTTTACGGCAGTGTAATGTTATGTGTATAATATAATATAACCTGTGTAGCGGTCACACATTTATTTTCTAAGTAAGCATGTAGTAAGATTTGGGAATAAATGATTTCTTTGGGTAGATTGGGCTACAAGCTGGCCTCTTTCACGGTGGGAAGTCCCTTTGCGAGAGCCAGAAAACCAAAGAAACCATAGTGAGCTCAGAGGGCAGTTGCGAGTGGGAGGAGACTCTGAAATTCGACATTAAGGTTAGGGACATCCCTCGTATGGCGCGGCTATGCTTTGTCCTGTACGAAATAAGCAAGACTGCAAAGGGCTTGAAGAGCAGAAGATTGGTCAAAGACTCCAAGCAAGAATTTTTTATTAATCCGCTATGTTGGGCCAACACGACCATATATGACTTTAAGTCGCAGCTGAAGACCGGAGCCATGACCCTGTACACTTGGACCTACGCAGAGGACATGCAGAACGAAGACTTGTTACATCCATTAGGCACCGTAGTGTCCAATCCCCACATTGATCGAGCTGCTGCGCTGATGTTGACGTTTCCAAAGTAAGCTCTTCTAAGTGGTCTGGTAAAGTTTAAGACTTATTACCGATTATATGCATTTATTTTGACATTTATCTTGAAGTCTACTTTACGTTGAGTACCTCTTGCCAGCTACGGTAAGGACAAGTCTGTGCTGTATCCCTCTCCGGAGAAGATGGTCGAGTACGCTTCAAAGTTGAGAGAGACATCGGAGGATCAAACCTTCGAAGAGGAGGCCACCCATGAGTCGGCTACTTTACAGCAACTGGAGCTACTGCGCTCTTTGGCTGATCGAGATCCTCTGCACGAGTTGCACGAACAGGAGAAAAAGACGATGTGGAACTTGCGGCATCATTGTCTTCAGAAAATACCTTCGCTATTGGCCAAGCTTCTACAGTGTGTCGAGTGGAACGACCACAGGTGTCCTTGACTTTAAATTGCAACTTAATGCGATGTTGTAATAATAATGCTGACTCCGATAGTCAGTAACATGAAAATAATCCATACGGGTAGTGGCATTAAATTGTTATAACCATAATTATAGGGAAGTGGCCGAAGCTACAGCTTTGGTGCAGCAGTGGCCCAAGCTACCGGTAGAAAAGGCTCTTGAGCTGCTTGATTATGCTTATGCGGATCAAAATGTAAGAAGCTTTGCAGTTCGCTGCTTGATGGATGTCAGCGACGATGACCTGAGTCTTTTCCTGCTGCAACTAGTGCAGGCTCTGAAGCATGAGAATTATCTTTCTTGTGACTTGACGGAGTTTCTGCTTCGGCGTGCACTAAACAACCAGAGGATCGGACACTTCCTCTTCTGGCATTTAAGGTCCCGAAAGAATCCCATCTCTTTATTATAGCAATTATTTCTTGCGTATTGATGAAAAAGGAGTAATGGTAGATGTTTCTTCTGAATGTTTAATACAAAGTGTTAATATTAATTGCTCGATGCAGGTCCGAAATGCAAGTGGGTGCAGTCTCCGTGCGGTTCGGTCTGATCCTGGAGGCGTATTCTAGGGGCAGTCAGCAGCACATGCGTGTATTATTTAAACAAATGGATTGCCTAGACAAATTGAGAACTGCTTCGGAGCAGATCAAGCAGAAGAAAGATCGTAAGGCTGCCCTGCAGGGCTTTGAAGACTTCATCCAGGACCCTCACTGCCAGGAGGCCCTGGGGAATGTTCTGAACCCCCTCGATCCAAGCTACCGATGGAGGAAAATAAGGTGAATCAATGACTCCTGGTGAAAACGACAGACATTATTTCAATCCCTTGTCAAAAATGTCGAAAACTTCTCATGTTTCTTGCAGAGTGGATAAATGCCGGGTGATGGATAGCAAAATGCGACCTCTGTGGTTGGTCTTCGAGAACGTGGACAACTTCGGTGACGACATTTACTTGATTCTGAAACACGGGGACGATCTCAGGCAAGATATGCTGACCCTGCAAATGCTGAGGATCATGGATAAGCTGTGGAAACAGGAGGGCCTGGATCTGAGGATGAATCCTTACGGATGCATATCCATGGACAACAGACTGGGCATGATAGAGGTGGTTCTCAATGCGGAGACCATAGCCAATATCCAGAAGGAAAAGGGCATGTTCTCGGCGACAGCCGCCTTTAGGTATATTCTGAACCCCCTATGAGTCTTTTCCAATTTTGCGGATCCTTATTTTAACGATATCATACCCTTAGGCGAGGATCCTTGCTGGCTTGGCTCAAGGATCACAACCATTCGGAGGCTGCGCTCAACAAAGCCATCGAAGAGTTCACCCTGAGCTGTGCTGGCTATTGCGTGGCCACATACGTCCTCGGCATTGCTGATAGACACTCGGACAACATCATGGTCAAGAAGACCGGTCAACTCTTTCACGTGGACTTTGGCCATATCCTGGGTCACTTCAAGGAGAAGTTCGGCTTCCGGCGAGAACGCGTGCCCTTTGTCCTGACCAATGACTTCGTCCATGTGATTAACAAAGGCCAGACGAAGAAGGGACAGGCTGTGGAGTTTCAGAGGTTCCAGAGCCATTGCGAGCAAGCCTTTTTGGTCCTCCGCAGACACGGCGGGTTAATACTCTCGCTGTTCGCCATGATGATCTCGACGGGGCTGCCCGAGCTGTCCTCGGAGAAGGACCTAAATTACCTGAGGGACACCCTGGTAAGGGGATGAATTAGTTAGCCCACGTCTCAGATAAAATATTTCTTCCATGTATATTCTATCGTCACTCGACGTTCGCGCTTTTCTCAGGTCCTAGAGATGTCGGAGAACGAGGCTCAGAAACACTTTCGTAGCAAGTTCGATGAGGCCCTCTGCAACTCCTGGAAAACCTCGCTGAACTGGGCCTCCCATAACATGGCTAAGAACAACAAGACGACGTAAACGAGGTCCTTCCCCGTTTCCTTCAGTCGGGATAAACTTAGGGAGGTTCATGCCGGGCCTTGAGATCAACTAACTAAAGGAGAGCTCTAAGGGACCCCCAGGAACCGTACTATTAGCGAAATCTCGTGGACCGGCATTTGGCGCGGGGCCAAGGGCAAGACTTGGTTCCTTTTTTGTTCGACCTCGAGGCTCCCGAGGAAGCTCCAGTGGACCCGACGTGCGTGGAAACTGGAATCCTTAACCATGTACTTCGGTCTCTTTAAGGTGACGTGAAAGTGCCGTCAAGGCGTTCTCGATCATGATACTTTTCTCCAAACTGGGTGCATTGAATTGATTCAAATTTGACTATATAAATATGAATAGGGTATGAGAAAGGTCCTAAAACTCATGAAATTTCAATTTTTTTTTAATTTGTTCATAGATACCTTTTAACACTAGATCTCCTAAGACGGGTCAAAATGACTTGTTTCAAATGGCTCATCATGTACAAAAAAAATCTGCCGGTCGTTCTAGTGTTAAATTTCTTCTAAAAAGTGAAATTTCATGAGTGTCAGGACCTTCCTTGTAGCCTCCGTATTCACGTTGTACAGTTTGAAACGATTCGGTACACCCAGTTTGGAGAAAAGTTTCATGAACGATTGACCACTCGGATGTCACTTCCACATCCCCTTATAACGGTGCAGTAAGTGTACCGGAGAAATTGCCACGTCTACGGTGCACTTATTCCGTCAATTGAACAAGTAGAAAGGTAGAACCTGAAAAATACGTACAATCACGATCGCCTCCAAACTCCGGGTGCATCGAGCTCGAACCTTTTCGTTTATTTCCCGGAATTCGTTCGACCCCGATAGGACATAAAATGATATCAGATTTTCTCGCCGTTTCCCGATAGACGGACAGTTTCCAAAATGTTGTAAGATTTGTTCGGTCGAGTTACCTAAGTTCAATTGAAAAAAAAAGAATTCCCCTTGAGCAATGAGATGCAAATATCAGGGCGAAAGCGTGCATCGAGTTTCTCGAAGGATGCAGAGGCGAGAACATCGACGCGTGCCTGGAATGGATCAAATCGTAAGGCTTTGGTCGCAATGCAACCAAACGCAATGCAATTAAGAATTATTGTTACTGCTGTTATTATTACTATTCTTACTGTATTATTCTAGGCGAGAGGAGAAGTGGCTGTACCAACAATTACTTGTTACTATTGCTCTATTACTTATGGAAATAACGCGTGCGGTCTGGCTCGAGGGCCCGGCCGTGCACGATCGGACGAAGGTGAGTCGAAGTGAGAGCTCAAGTACTGCCAGAAGGAGAAAGAGACGGTGATTTTCCATGAAATGCCTCGAGGAAACGTTGCTCTTTTCTTCGAGGTGATTCCTAGGGAGAATTGGGAGAGAAAAGTCCTTTACGAGTCCTTTCTACGAACGGCGGGAAAGAATTCAGAAGTCTCCAAAGAAGCCCATAAGGATACGGACGTTCGATGCTCGACAAATAGTATGTTAGCCAACGGATGGCGGCGCTGTAAGCATCTCTCCATCTCTCTTCATATTACGGCGATATATAGCGAATTGCATTTTTTCTTTATCTTACACCCAATACTCGCCTTTCTATATGCGGCTCTCTTCCTCCCATGTGTGAGATATCGTTGGCTAACACATGCGATCTCTCTTTTATCCCCATTTTTGGTTTGTTAGCCAAATTTTAGAGCATCAAGCGCTAAGATAGGATCTGGGCTTCTATGGGACTTCTGAAGTCTTTGCCTGTGGTTATTCTACTTTGAAACCGACCAATCACAAGGCTGCAATGTCTCCTTTTTGGAGACTCCAAACGGTAGCGACTTCTACCTCGAATATATCTCGGAAACCAAAAGTCCTATCGAATTCGAAAGGACTTTTCCCGTCCGATATCGAAAGTGGAATCGATGGGGAAGAGTTTACATTTGTCTAGGGAAGGAAATTCTTCACAGTATACGAAAACTCGCCCGATCGTTGCTGGGGCTATTGGCTGTAATAATTTTGTTTTTTTACGGCATTTGCTGATTCACTTCCTATGAACTTTAAGGGGACGTGAAAGTGGCACCCGAATGGTCAATCGTTCATGAAACTTTTCTACGAACTGGATGCACCGAATAGTTCCAAACTTTACAACGTTAAGGTGGAGGCTTTAAGGGAGGTCCCGATACTCGTGAAATTTCATTTTTCATAGAAAAATTTCAAGATATCTATAAGCAAATTTTGGAAAAATTGAATTTTTTTATGGGCGTTAGGGTCTTCCTTATAGCCTCCGTATTTGTATTGTAATGTTTGAAACGATTCGGTGTTGAAAGGTTTTCTAAACGCGGCTTTCACGTCGCCTTAACATTCAGGAAACTCGCCGAATCGCTCTTCTCGATGTTACCTATTTAACATTGTTAAATTCGAGCTGCGAATTTTTTTATTGCGAGCGATCTCGTTATAAGTGATGATGCGTGCCGTTCGAATACGGAAGAGGAAGACTTGCCGAGATAGAGATATATCGGATTAAATCCTGAATGTGCGATCAGCATTAAACTGGACATTCAGCTCGAGGGGCGAAGTAATCGGTGGTCGATTTAGTTAGCGATAATTATTATATATCTTAGACTGTTTCGCGCCGACGAAAAGTGCAATTGCGTTTAGGATCTTGACTCGAAGACTCAGGCTTTAATGGCCCTGATTGGCTCATAAGTCTTGTATATAAATGGATGATGTACTACCAACATGATCCCGTTTCAATAACCAAGGCTGACCCTTGTCACCCGACTTTAAGGGGATGTGAAAGTGGCATCTGAAGAGTCAATCGTTCATGAAAGTCTTCTTCGAACTGAGTGTACCGAATCGTTTCAAACTTTACGCTGCGAATATGGAAGCTATAAGAAAGGTCCTGACACTCATGAAATTTCATTTTTTTTTTTGTTTAATTTCGAATATATCTATGAACAAATTTTTTAAAAATTATCTGAACCTTCGATATGGTCTCTATATTCATGTCTTAAAGTTTGACACAATTCGGCACACCCAGTTCGAAGAAAAGTTTCATAAACGACAGTTCTTAGACGCCGCTTTCGGATCACCTTAAGGGGATGTGAAGTAACATTTGGGGGATCGATCGTTCATGAAACTTTTCTCTGAACCGGGGGCACCGCATCGTTTCAAACTTCACACCGCGAATGTGGAGGATATAAGGAAGGTCCTGACACTCATGCAATTTCATTTTTTATAAAAAAAATTTCGAATATATCTATAAACAAATTTTTAAAAAATTATCAGAACCTTCGATATGGTCTCCATATTCATGGCTTAAAGTTTGAAACAATTCGGTACACCCAGTTCGGAGAAAAATTTCATAAACGAGAGTTCTTTGACGCCGCTTTCGGATCACCTTAAGTCAGCTTCGCCGATCGTCCACGATGCTGCATCCAGATATAGAAAATGATACAATCGGCTTAAGGAATTCTTGTACATAAACGTGGTCAGCAAAATGTCTCGCAAAGTGACAGACGTATTTGCGGCATTTGTTAATAAGACCCACGATCGAGGGTTAAAGTATTTTACGAGTTTTACAGGGATGGATCTTATAGTATTAGTGATTAGCGAAGGTCTGACACCGATTGGCGATCGATATTTTGTTGACTTAGGCACGCGTGTACGTATAAATGTTTAAACGATCGTTTCGATGCAACTTTCTTCTTCTTCTTCTTCTTCTTCTGTTTCTTTTTTCTTTCCCTCTTTTCTCTTGGGCATAAATCCACTTTGTAACATTCAGTTCCTAGGTTAAGGGTGTTTAAGAGGCGTTACGCTATTTGCATACGACCGGCAAAACCGGTGGCGGTGTCGGTTTTTTTTCCATGGGAATAATGTAAATTAATGAAAATTACATTGTTTTTGGTAGAAAATTCAGTGGCGGCGCCGATTTTTCTCCATGGTAATGATGTAAATAAATGAAAGTTACATTGTTTTTGGAAGAAAAGGCGGTGACGGCGCTAGTTTTTCTCCATGGTAATGATGTAAATAAAAATTACATTGTTTTTGGCAGAAAACTCGGTGGCGGCACCGGTTTGTTCTCCATGGTAATAATGTAAATAAATGAAAGACATTGTTTTTAGCAGAAAAGTCGGTGGCGGCGCCGGTTTTTCTCCATGGTAATGAAGTAAATAAATGAAAGTTACATTGCTTCCGGCAGAAAAGTCGGTGGCGGCGCCGGTTTTTTTTCCATGGGACTGATGTAAATAAAAGTTACATTGTTTTTGGCAGAAAAGTCGGTGGCGGCGCTAGTTTTTCTCCATGGTAATGATGTAAATAAAAATTACATTGTTTTTGGCAGAAAACTCGGTGGCGGCGCCGGTATGTTCTCCATGGTAATGATGTAAATAAAAATTACATTGTTTTTGGCAGAAAACTCGGTGGCGGCGCCGGTTTTCCTCCATAGTAATGATGTAAATAAAAATTGCATTGTTTTTGGCAGAAAAGTCGATGGCGGCGCCGGTTTGTTCTCCATGGTAATGTAAATAAATGAAAGTTACATTGTTTTTATCAGAAAAGTCGATGCAGACGCCGGTTTTGCCGGTACGGGTGCAAAGGGCCTTAGAGTTAAAGTCGTAAGGAGAGATAACAAATTTGGTAGCGAAGAAGTCCCGAAGGAAGGGACTCCGCAAATTATTCCAAGAAGGCAGGAAGCATTGCGAGAATAGGAGATTCTCGTAGGTAGGAGTTGCGAATTTGCATCCGGCGAGTAGCTCGCGATTTGACCGAATCTCTCGGCGAACCCTTCGGAAGAGTTTCGACTTCTCGCCGAGTCGGTACCCACGTTTTCGAGGGAAAGCCGACCTCGAGACCTCGTAGATTAATTCCCCCTAGCGAATTGATTAACCGGAGGAAGATAGCTGGTAGATAATCGATAACGTTAAACGATAAGTAGAAGGAGAGGCGGAGAGAGAGAATGTAACGAGTGTGTGAGTCCTGGGCGAGAATCGATTGTTTCTTTTCCTTCCCATCGCCCGGGTGTTATTACCACTGCTATTATCCTATCATTACCTTATTTATTAGCGTTAAAGGAATAATCCGACGCGACCGTCGAAATCATACGTAATCTCCGTTTACGTCTTGGGAGGCGTCCCTTTATTTCCAATTTTACTCCTTTTTTTTTCCCCCTTCGAGAATTTTACGATCTTTCTAGCTTTTCTTTTTTCTTTCTCGCTGTCGCGAGGCTCTACGGATTTACGTTTTTTTTTCATTGTCTATTTTCCTTCCTTTTTTTTTTTTCAGTTGTTTGGAGTCAGAGCGGGGAGAATGAGAGCGTGAGTCTCGGGCGGAAAGGGAGGACGAGATTGGAGGGGGGCAACTTTTAGATACCGATTATCCAGAATTATCGATAAACTGCGAATTTCGCCGCGGTTTATCCGATATTCGGGTTTACTTTCGACGTTTCGAAGGATTTGCATACGCGGCCGCGCCTCGTCGTCTCTCGACCACTCTTGTAAATACCGTTCAGCTCGTACAAGTACCAAATCCACTGTGTTTTAGCGTTATTTATTAAGTCACACTGTAAGATCGAATAAAAGGCAACCATGCTATGTAAATCTATTTATGCGTTTCGTTTGTGCGAGATACGACGTAAGAAGAATTTACTTTTAATCGCGCCGGCGAGTTAAAAGAGAAATAACGAATAACGCAAAAGCACGTGAGAAAAATTACTTTTTTATGTTTTATTTTAGCAGTGGGCCTTTAAAAAGCTTCTTGAGTCGTTCCCGGTACAGTTTCGGACTGAATTAATGAATTACTATCTATAACATTCTTTGTGGAAAATTTGATTTTAACAGATTTGTCCATTTAACAAGATATACAAAGAGAAACGCGTGAGAGAAATTTTTGCGGCCCAGTAGTAAAAAGTTTTTAAGGGCTTTGAAATCATTTTCAATGTAGTCTCAGAATAATTGAATTGCCACCTAGAATATCCCGTATAAAAAAATCCACCTTTAATAGTACTATCCACAAAAAATACATATATATGTGGAGAATGAGCGCAAAAAATTCTGTTCCTCGAATAGTGGGAAGCTTTTAAACAACATATGTATAAACGAAATATATATATAAATGGTAACGTAAAAATATAAAAATATAAAATATATAACATATACTGTATATATGTATAAACGAAAAATTCTGTTCCTCGAATAGTGGGAGGCTTCTAAGGGACTCTGAGTCACTTTGGATGCACGTCTCGAAGTGAATGACCGAATTACTATTTGTAACATCACTTGAGCTTGACAATGACGATGAAATAATTTCTGATAATTCCGCTATTGCGATAAAAGTAATTACGAAGCTGAGTGTAAAGTCACGGAACGGGGGAAATCGTTTGAAACGGGTTCGAGGGTTCATACGAGGCTTGTTCGTTCAGTCATGTCGTGTTCTTCATACCTTACACTTCGGCTCGGTACAGACTTTCGCTCCTCGTAAACCTCGAGTGCTTAAAAAAGAAAATAACATATCGAAGGTCTCCGAAAAATATGGACTGCATCGTCGACCGGCCTTAATATATTGCAATACTTTTTGCAGAGTCTAAATTTATCTAGGAATTACTTTCCGATTTATTTCCCCGTTCGTATTGTATATCTGTAAATGATGTTACGAATTAATTGTTTGATTAATTAATTTATGAGTGGTATCTCGGGGAGTGGGGAAAAGTATGTGATGCGTCGGTACGGGAGATGGGTTTGAAATGACGAGTGATTGACGTTCTTGAAAAATTATTAACGAGAGCCTTAAAGCGCGGGGGGAATTTATTTTTGGCCAGGGGCATTTATTTTGTTATTTCTGTAATATGACAACCTGACATTATGTTAATTGCTTCACCATTGATCGAACGGAAGGTTCAAGGAGTACTCGTCTAGTTACGTAAACACGGGAGAGAAGTTACGTAAATCTCGAAGGTACGCAAAGAGTCCGCAGCCTCTTTTGCACCTCGCCTTTCCCGATGTACACAAATTCTTCCATGAGATTTGCATACGAGCATTGCATAGATTACCGGCCGAGTGTTGCGTAAAAAATGCAAGACTCGGGACTCCTCCTCATCCTGCCCACGTAAGGACCTCTTAGCCGCCTCCTTCGCCAAACTTCTTCCCACGCTTATATGTATTTCTTTTTTTTTAAACACTCCATTGCATATTAAAATCGAAATTGAAAATTTCCTCAGAAAGGGAAAAGGTTTCAGTGTCCGCAGGGAAAAGGGAGGGCATTGCAAATGATATCTTCAGTGATAAATAAAAATAAATGAACGGCAACTTCGCTGCTGGGGTCTTTGAAGTCCTGCACGAAGAGTTAGATCTTTTCGGTCATCTAGAGGACTGGGGGATCTATAGGATTCCAATGTCGTCTTTTGGGATTAAGGATCAATTCTAGATTAAGGGGATTCTAGATCATCCGTATGGTCGAGAAGATGACGGCTGCCGAGGAATCGGAGCCTTTGATATCAACACCCGCGGCATCCACCAGCAAGCAAAGGATCAGTTATCGATCCGTCACTTTTGTAAGTTCTGAGAATATGGAACAAGATGAGATTATCGATCAATCCCTCCCTAAATAAAACCAATACAAATGACAGGGGAAAGACCCTAAAAGAGGCCTTTTCTAAAATTTAGAGTCCTTTCAAAGAGGTCCTGAATGGATCCTTGGATCTCATAGTTCAGGATCGATACGAATTTATCCAGGATTAATGAGATCTTCGGGAACTTTACGTAAGCTCTTACATAAACTATAATTCTGTAACTTTTGTAAGATCTAGGAACGCGGATCAAAGTGCAATTATCGATTAATCCCTCTCTAAATAAAACTGAAAGGCCTTGAAAGAGGCCTTTTCTAAAATTTAGAGTTCTTCTAAAGAGATCCTGGATGAGTCCTTGGATCTCACGGTTCAGAATTGATCGGAATCTATGCAGGATCGACGATTTCCTTGAGGACTTTACATAAGCTCTTATATATACTATAATTCCATAACTTTTGTAAGATCTAGGAATGCGGATCAAAGTGCAATTATCGATCAATCCCTCTCTAAATAAGACTGATCCAAATTACAGGAAAATGGCTCCTGAAAAAGGCCTTTTCTAAAATTTAGAGTTCTTCTAATGAGATCCTGGATGAGCCTTTGAATTACAGGAAAAAGGCTCCTGAAAAAGGCCTTTTTTAAAATGTAGAGTTCTTCCAAAGAGATCCTGGATGAGTCCTTGGATCTCACGGTTCAGAATCGACCCGAATCTGTTCAGAATTGATGATTTCCTTGGGGAATTTACGTAAGCTCTTACATCTGCAGAGATCAAGCCACAGGTAATCGAAGATCGGGTTGATCACCTTGAAGGATTGATTGGTGTCGCGTAAGACTTGCGACCGCTCGGAGATATTTTAATCACATAGATCACTTATCTCTCCTGATATGTAATACCCTCGGTGATTTCTTTTCAAGAAATATTTTCAAAAGCATCGAAGAGTGAGATATTACTTGAGGGTCGTGTCTGATCAGACAGGGAATCAAGGGTGGAGACGTCGGGGAAGCCTTGCGGAGAGCGATTCTCTTCAGGGCTTCCCTGGGGGCGAAAACGGGACTGTTCGAAGTTCATCACAGAGTTCAGCTTCGGGTCCTCGACCTCAAAAAAAGGAAAAGAAATTTAATACAACTTATCAATTACTTTAGGAGGAAAATGGCAAACCGACTTCAGGCAGTTGCAGCCCCATGTCGTCGCTCTGCATGGAATCGATCATCGATCGGACATCGACCACTGCTTATCAAATCGATACCAGAGACAGAATCACGTATACATGGAGCGATGTAAACGTCTATGTAACTGCAAAAAAGGACCGCTTTTGGGACCGATTGTTTATTAAAGGGAAACGACCGGTCGAACAGAAGCACATCCTGAAAGATGGTAATCACTCTTCCTCAATCTAAGACAATTTCTTTCCGTCAAATTCAGTTTGGTAACAAATTTTATCGGATTAGTGCACCGTTAAAAATGAACTACGGTAATTTCATATCATTTTCGAGGGGATTCTATAGAGACATGATATTCTAATATTGTAGAATATTTTCAAATATAATTGTTAACGTGTGTTGTTCACTCTTGAGACTTCAAATTTATAATTTTACTATACTCTTGGGTACTAGAGTATGGGAATTTTATGTGGGATGAAAATCTATGGAAATTTACGTACATTTTTGCATACCTCATAACCGAGGTCTCACATAGAAAAACGCAAACTGAAGAAATTAAAAATTAGGAAATGTATATTTACCATATTGGTACATTTTTATATGGATTAAATGTAGTATTATATTGGGATTTTCTGTAACTTAATTTCTGTGCCGAGTATGATTTTACGGATATAATTGCACTTCAATTTATTGTGGCATCAAATTAACCAACGATTGATTATGTAAATTTCCCATGAGTATTTTTATTCACGTGAGACAATTTTGCTTTTAAATTCGGCTTGACCGAATTCAATTGTCAATTGATGGAACTATGTATTCCAGTGTGCGGAGTCGCTTATCCCGGGGAGCTTCTGGTGATAATGGGCTCTTCAGGGGCTGGGAAGACGACTTTGCTGAATGCCTTGACATTCAGGTCAGCTCGAGGTGTGACAGTCTCCGGAATCAGAGCTGCCAACGGCCAAAGGGTTACCCCGAGTGTCCTGACCTCCAGGATGGCCTACGTCCAGCAGGACGACCTGTTCATAGGCACCTTGACGGTGAAGGAGCACCTCCTTTTCCAGGCGATGGTCAGGATGGACAAGGACATTCCCTTCCGCCAAAGGAGGAAACGAGTCGACGAGGTCATCTCCGAGGTAGGCCATAATTTCAGCATTTTCCTTATGCCTTCAAATCAATATATAAATATCACATTGCTAATGTTATACATGAATGTCATGTTGATGCACTACATTGGCATAAAGGATTAAACTAAAGGGAGGAAAGGAGGGAAATGACTTTTGTCCTTTTTTCGCCCATCGTTTTCGTCAGCTGGCTTTGACAAAATGCCGAAACACCGTGATCGGGATCCCCGGAAGGGTTAAAGGACTCTCTGGAGGAGAGATGAAGAGGTTGTCCTTCGCCTCCGAGGTCCTGACGGATCCTCCTTTGATGTTCTGCGATGAGCCCACCTCGGGACTGGACTCCTTTATGGCCCATCAGGTTGTCACGGTGTTGAAGACCCTGACTGGTACGCAAGTCCTTCCCGTAGACTCTATAAAGGATGGATAAAGGACTTAAAAGGATGGTGGGTCTAACCCCGTTGTTTTCTTCAGCACGTGGGAAGACGATCATCGTGACTCTTCATCAGCCATCCTCGGAGTTGTTCGCCCTTTTCGACAGGATACTGCTGATGGCCGAAGGAAGAATCGCCTTCATGGGCACTTCGGAGCAAGCCTGCACATTTTTTAAATCGTGAGTGGGATTCCGGCAGCATTTAAGGCGACGTTAAAGTGGCGTCAAAGAAGTCTATTAATCTTTTTTTCCGAACCGGGTCTATCGAATCGTTCCAAATTTTACAACGCGAATAAGGAAGGTCCTGACACCCATGAATCTTAAATCCTTTTAAATTTGTTTATAGAGATTTTTCAAATTGGTTATAAAAAATGAAGTTTCAGGGGGGTTAAGGTTTTCTTTATAGCCTCCATATTTACGTTGTAAAGCTTGAAACGATTCGGTGCATTCGGTTCGGAGAAAAGTTTCATGAATGATGGACCTCTCGGAAGTCACATTCACATCCTCTTAAGGGTCTTGAGATTTTTTAACCCATGTCTGTCCAGGTTGGGAGCAGCCTGTCCCAGCAACTATAATCCTGCCGACTACTTCATCCAGCTCCTGGCCATAGTTCCTGGCCGAGAGGCCTCTTGTCGGCATTCCGTCAACTCGGTTTGCGATACCTTCCAACGAAGCGAACACGGCATGAAAATCTCTCTAGAAGCCGAGACCGTCAACGGGGATTTTGAGGATTCGTTGAAGGATTCGTCTTCCAGACATTCACCGTATAAAGCGTCCTGGTGCGAGCAGTTCCGAGCAGTCCTTTGGAGGTCCTGGCTCTCGGTCATCAAAGAACCCATCCTGATCAAAGTCAGGCTACTCCAGACTGTGGTATGAAATCCAGGATCATCCTTATCAACAATGAATTAAAATGAATTGAAATGAATTAAAAAGAAATTAAAATGAATTTAAGAATCTAGTTGAATCTTCATTTCTATTCTACAGATGGTTTCGTTGCTGATCGGTGTCATCTACTTCGGCCAGAAGCTGGACCAGGACGGAGTGATGAACATCAATGGGGCCCTGTTCATATTCCTCACCAACATGACGTTCCAGAATGTCTTTGCAGTGATTACGGTAGGTTGAAGGGTTTATGAGAATCTTTGACGGGTACCTTATCGTATTTATATTAGGAACTTGATCTCTTTATCGGGGTCGATCATTCGATCGATCGTTTCAGGTGTTCTGCTCCGAACTGCCGATTTTTCTGCGCGAACATCGCAACGGGATGTACAGGACGGACATTTATTTCATTTGCAAGACCCTAGCCGAGGCGCCGATCTTCCTGGCGGTGCCTTTGATCTTCACCACCATCACCTATCCCATGATAGGACTTTACCCTGCCGTGGACCACTTCTTCATAGCTACTGGGATCGTGGCTTTGGTGGCGAACGTCTCGACCTCGTTTGGTAGATGTTCCATACTAATTTTTAATGCTATTTCCCCACAGAAGCATGGTAAAAGGAAAATCGTGGACAAAGAAACTCTTCAGACCATCCATCTAACCCATGGGAACTTTTTCGTCTCTTCTGGAACCATGGCTTTGGTGGTGAACACTTCGATCTCGTTTGGTAGATGTTCTACATTAGTTTGTAATGCCAATTCTCCACAGGCTAAAGACAAGCTTTGGATGAAGAACCTCTTTGGCTTATCCATTCAATCCATGGGATCCTTTGCTCCATAGGGAACATTTCTCAGCACGTGCCGGATTACGACGCCCGGGTCGCGTTTCCTAGGCTCCAGATTAATCCTCTCAATAGATAGGATAAAAAGAAAGTTGAAAGAGGATTCGCATAGAGATATTATAATAAAAGCAACCAAAGAGATCCTGTAAACTCTTTCCAGGATACCTTATCTCCTGCGCCAGCACCAGCGTCTCTATGGCGCTCTCCGTAGGGCCTCCAATCATCATACCTTTCTTGCTCTTCGGTGGATTCTTCCTCAACACTGCGTTAGTACCTCTCGAACAATTCATTCTAACGATTGCCTGTTCAATAGATGCCTTATCAGTGCAATTAATCCCTTGGAAAACGAATTTACTTCGCAGGTCCGTGCCGATCTACTTCAAATGGTTCTCCTATCTGTCCTGGTTCCGATACGGGAACGAAGCTCTTCTTATCAACCAATGGTCCCAGGTGGAAACAATAGCTTGCACGAGGAGCAACGCGACCTGTCCGAAAAACGGTCACGTTGTTCTGCAGACTTTCAACTTCACGGAGGTTGGCTGATCTCTCTTGATCACTTCATTAAGGCGACATGAAAGTGGCATCTGATTAGTTCATCGTTTATGATATTTTTTTTTAGGTGTACCGAACCCTTTGAAATTCTCCCGGATGAATATGCATGCCCCGAGGAAGGTCCTGACACCCAGGAAATTTTATATTCTTATTAAGAAATGTTACAAAATATTTATTAAGAGATTAGAAAGGAATCAAATTTGATGGGCGGTCGAAACCTTCCTTGGGGGGTTTCGTATTCACGTGGTGAATTTTTTAACGATTCGACACACCTAGTTAGGGGAAAAGTTGAACAGGCGAAATCCCTAGACGCTACTTTCCTACCCCCCTTAACCGAAATCCTCATTAACGAGGCGTTTTCCTTCCCAGGACGACTTCTGGCTAGACATTATCAGCCTCTTCTCTCTGATAGTGGCCTTCCGATTTCTGGCGTTCCTCGCGCTGCTCTCGAAGACGTTCAACATGAAGCAGAAGTCGACGTCCTAGAACGACTCTACACGTCGAAAGCAACTCCACCTGGCAATACTTCTACGACAATAAACTTTGTTTTCCCCGGTAACCAGCGAATGCGCGAATCGCAATTTCCGAATTTCCCTTCCTCCACCGTGAATGGCGATCCCATAGTATTCCCATTGAATTTCTCCTGCGAGCAAGAAACTCGGTGGAGTCTCGCGTCAAGTTCAGTCCTATTTTCTTTTTTCTTTTTTCAGACCTAACCTAGACAACTTCTCCCTTTTCGCATCGAGGGGGATACATTGCATCGCCCTCGATGGCCAAGCACCGCAACTGCCAGCTGCGACTCAAAAAACGCATTTTCAGAGCAACTTCCTGTCCTGCTTCGACCACATTCGGTATCGGTATCGTTGACAACCGGTTGTCAGAGGTACCGTGAGACCGCACGTGGGAAGAAAAAATCCATTCCACATGCAAGAACATCCTCGTCATATGTCGCTGCGCCGAGTAAATGCAATTGCAGAGTCTCGCCCGGAAGTTTCGGGGTAACTCGACGCTGCGCCTTATTAAACCTCTATATTCTTCAACAACTCGTGGAAAACGATATTTTCGACAAATTGAAGGAAGGATTTGTCCATTGCGACTGCACCGTGAATGATATTGAACGTTAATATTGAAAAATGTCGTAGAGTCGAGGTGTCTTTCTATTTTTCAAGATGGCGGACGTAGCGAGACTCGACCGTTCGATCTGGTTGTTAGGATCGAAGAGGCGATTTGTTTTGGGTTACACGTCACGAGAAAATGCATTGTGATTAATATTGAGAGATAATATCGAAGAACGTCGAAACGTCGAGGTTTCTTTCCATTTTTAAAAATGGCGGACGTTGCTAGACTCGAGTTCTTAGGATCGATGAGGTGATTAGTTTTGCATCGCTTGTCGCAAGAAGATGCATCGTGATTGATATTAAGCAATATAATTGAAAAGTGTCTTAAAGTCGAGGGGCTTTTATATTTTTCAAAAGAGTGGACGTCGCTAGTGCATCGCGATTGATATTAAGCAATAATATCGAAAAATGTCCCAACGTCGAGGTGTTTCTATTTCTATTTTCCAAAATGGCGGACGTTGCTAAACTCGAGTTCTTAGGTTCGAAGAAGTGATTAGTTTTACATCACACGTCACGAGAAATGCATCGTGATTAATGTTGAGCGATAATATCGAAGAATGTCGCAACGTCGTGGTTTCTTTCTATTTTTAAAAATGGCGGACCTCGCTAGACTCGACCGGTCGATCTGGCTCTTGGGATCGAAGAGGTGATTAGTTTTGCATCGCACGTCGCGAGAAAATGCATCGTGAATGATATTAAGCAATAATATTGAAAAATGTCTTAAAGTCGAGGTGTCTTTCTATTTTTCAAAATAGCGGACGTCGCTAGTGCATCGTGATTGATATTAAGCAATAATATCGAAAAATGTCCCAATGTCGAGGTGTTTCTCTTTCTATTTTTCAAAATGGCGGACGTTGCTAGACTCGAGTTCTTGAGATCGAAGAGGTGATTAGTTTTGCATCGCACGTCGTAAGGAAATGCATCGTGATTGATATTAAGCAATAATATCGACAAATGTCCCAACATCGAGGTGTTTCAATTTCTATTTTTCAAAATGGCGGACGTTGCTAGGCTCAAGTTCTTGAGATCGAAGAGGTGATTAGTTTTGCATCACACGTCGCGATAAAATGCATCGTGATTGATATTAAGTAATAATATCGAAAAATGTCCCAACGTCGAGGTGTTTCAATTTCTATTTTCCAAAATGGCGGACGTTGCTAGACTCGAGTTCTTAGGTTCGAAGAGGTGATTAGTTTTGCATCACACATCGCGATAAAATGCATCCATCGCGTCGTGTTTACCGTTCCGCAATACACGTTAATACCCACGTACTCGGGAAGTATAGTGTCGAACGTATAAGGTTTCGTTCTTCGATTACCATAATCCGACACTGGAGGGTACCGGTACAAAGGGAGAAATTTTTACGGTAGCCAAGGCCCACTTGGGGGCTCCGGAGCCCCAATCGCGAAGAAAGCTCCCGAGAAGACGGAAGGTTCTAAATTCCCGTACGGTTAAATTAATTTTGAGGTGATCGAGGTGATTCGAGAGGAGAAAGTGTCCAGAAGAGTCTGCAACAGTGGGTGTCGAACAAGTCAAGACATTGGACATTTGGGATGTATGGACTGAGCAAAGCCAAACTTTTCTTTGATATTCATGTGAAGGCCGCGAAAAGGAAAGAGAGCGAATGAACGGGCTATTTCTTATTTCCGTCTTGTTATTGAATAAGCTGGCGCCATGTTGCGCTGCACAGCTGATTCGAATAAAAAGAGAGGGAAAGAGCGAGGAACCGCCTCTTTATATCATTTCTTTAGTTCTGTTGTCTTCTTAGTTCGATCGGTGTATGGGATCCATGAAATTGCTTCCATGGATCTGACTTTGAAGTCAGATCTGAAAAAGTGAGGACAGAGATTATTTTCTCAATGATAGACTTTTGCCATATTGCTTTGCGCTCTATTTTCACATTAAAAAAAAGAGAAAAAAAAATGGAATGAAAACAATTTATACATTCTCTTTCATTTCTGCTCCCTACATAGATCAACGTACGAAATCTGCAGATTCTACATCCGTGCATCTGACTGTGAAGTCGGCAGACCTGAAAGAAGAAGAGTAGAAGGACTCCCTTTTTTCCTCCCCTTTTTGTTATCGCCATTTTGTGCTGTGTAACTATTTCACGTAAAAAGAGAGAGGAATTACGAAGAAAACAACCCCTCTATTCTCTCTCTTCCAGTTCTGCAGTCTCCATAACAAGATCACCAAAGTCTATACATTCAACGAGCATAGGAGCGGCACGCGCAGTATGAGCGCGTACCTGTAATCTGACAAGTAAGAGCAAACGAACGGCATAGGAGGAGCAACCGAGGGAATCGAAGACCTTAAAGGACATAGCAAAATGATGACATTAATCTCGACGTGTCAGTGCTTCCACGGTGACAACTAGAGGTGTCTGACATCCACTTTACAACTGGAAAGAAATAAGAATAATTTAAAGAGTAATATATATGAGAGGCAGATCCATCCGGTCTCTCTCTCTCTCTCTCTCTCTCTGGATCTGGATCGAGATCGGGAAGTGGAAGGGGGAGCTGGTCTAAGAGGGGGAAAGAAGACTGTCTTAGGGCCCCATGTCCACAGGACACCTCTCCCTGCTCCAGTTATCACGTTCCCAGAGATAACCGCTCCTGCAATTGCGTTTGATATATTGAAACCGGCTGTGATAACATGTGATCGAGAAGTGACTTCGGGCGTTAAGGTACGGCTCGAAGAATTATGCAAAACGAAGTGGTGCTCGCTCGTTCCGTGATTTAATGATTGCGGTCACTGATAGGGTTTCCGGAAACGGGAGCAGCGATCGAAGTGTGCTCGAATGCGTTCTAAGGGGTTCGTCGGACAACCTCGGCGTCGCAAGACGTGACGATAATCATCCCCAAGATGGCCACGGTAGGACACTCTGCATTATCCAGGAGAAATAATGTTTTAAAAATTATCTTCCTCCCCCTTTCAGTCGCTCATGCTGGGGAGCACCAAACAGGTGGCCAGTGACTCCTCGAAAGGGGTGACTTTGTCTTGGTGCGATCTTTCGGTCTATGCGACCGATCGTGGGAACAAGATCTGCAATCAGCTGATTAAGAATGGTAATTCGTCGATTAAGAAACTCGGTTGAGTTTCGCGCCATATACATATAGGCGCGAAATACTGACCTAGTCATTATCTACGATGTTCAGCCTGGCGCGTAAAACTAGACAAAGAATTTCATTTTCTGAACCCCTTCAATGAGTAATGTCAACTTTAACCAGGCCATCGAGGTTGGGCTATTTTTCTGCGTTTTTTTTGTACTATGAACGAAACCGATTGGTATATTTAATACGGAGATATGCAATATTAAATATTACACTTCGCTCGGGATGCCTGACATTTTTTAAGGACTTGCCAAATATATACACACCCAATTCGGAGATTAGTTTCACCAACGATTTGACCTCTCAGGTATATATCGGCTGACTCTTTCATATAATCTTAATCTTGAATTTAAACGAGATTGAGTAATACATGGAATTTTAATAAATGGTTGTGTTTATTTATAGTGCGAGGCGCGGTGCAGCCTGGTGATCTAACCGCGATCCTGGGAGGCAGGTAACTCGATCGTTTTAATTTGCAACACTCGTTCATGTTACATGCAGCTCATCTCGAAGATATCGGACACGTTCGTTTCTGATTTTTTTTTTTCATTTTTTAGCGGCGCAGGGAAAACATCGCTGATGGAGGCGCTAGCGTTTCGAACCTCTCGTGAGTAGACCTAAGAACAATGTACTTTCCCATTGACATTAGGAGGCAATGACAGTAATGTTTCTGATGAACAGCTGGGGTGATAGTGCACGGAGATGTCTACGCGAATGGACAATCAGTGGGTTCACCATACATGCGGCACCATAGTGGATTTATGCAGCAGGAGGACATTTTCATCGGCACTATGACAGTCCTGGAACATCTTACATTCATGGTGTTCATAAACAATGATCTTAAAAGGAGAGAAACATTTAACCAAGCCTAAATTTCAGTCCCTCTTCAAATCTGCATACCTTACAGGAGATATTTTTTAAATCTCCTTTACCGTTTGTCCTTAAACCTCGAACTTAACAGGAAGTAAGTCCTTAGGATGAGAAATTGTAGAGATGGGAATATCTGTTACTTTTAAAATCTATGGCAGAATCTTAATTGCGTAGATACCCTTCTTGATACTCGTCTTAAAACCTATTTAAGGTAATACGAAAGAGGGCTCTTGTTTACGAAATTTTTCCTCAGGCTGGATGTATCGAATCGTTTGCAACTTTGTCACTAGAATATGGAGGCCCTAAGAAAGGTGCTGATACCCATGGGCTTTCATTTTTTATATGTATATATTTTTTTTATTAAATTTGAAATTTATGTCAAGACCTTCCTTAGGGCCATATTCGCGTGATAAAATTTTAGGCAATTAAGAACATCTGATTTGGCTAATATTTCATAGACGATTCACTCCTTAGATGCTACTCTCATGTCAAATTAAGGACTACAATTAGAGGTCCTAAGTGGGATCAGAATCTTGACTCGGGATATCCGTTGTCACGGCTTTTGTTTAAGTTAATTTCATATTTGTTCTTTTTGCTGCATGACAAGGCGCGCATGAAGCTGGACAGACGAACGAAGTCCTGGGAAGTCAGACAAAGGATCGACAGGCTCCTGAGGGAAGTCGGATTGTCCTGCAGGAGCAACACCAGGATAGGCTCAGGAGGAGACGACAAGGTCCTGTCAGGAGGCGAAAAGAAGCGACTGGCGTTCGCTACCGAGGTGCAACAATTGTTGACGGTTCTTAAATGTCTATTTACATAACTCAATAACGAACAGAATTCTGCACCACGGGGCTCGATTTACAGTATCGCCGTTACATACGCAGGTCTTGGATTAAATTGTTACTGCGGTTAGCGCGTTCGATGTATAAGTGAAGGTAGAAATGTAGACTCGTTGAAACGCTGAGACTTAATTACACGTGCAGAGCCTATGATCAATTTTTTCATAAGCCCGATTGAAAAGGACGTTTAATGGTTGATAAATAACATCGATGGTGAGCGGAGAAGTTTGAGAAAAAGAAAAGTGTGTGGAATTTCTAGCAGTGGTTGTAGAGATGAGTAAATGCAGAACCGAGACCAAGTCCAAGACCTTGGTAGTCTTGCAACTTTGATTACGTCTTCTACTCTTTGCAAGAGGAAGGCCAATACTAGTCTTGCTCATTTCCTCTAAGAGATTGACAAATGCAAAACGACGAAGACCAAGACCATGATAGGCTTTATTTTGGTCTTGGCTTCGTATACTCGATCCTCCGTCTTGCAAAAAGTACAAGACCAAGACAAAGACCGACTTTGCTCATCGCAAATTTCTTGCTTCGTTCCCAGTTGCTGACGGATCCGAGGATCCTGTTCCTGGACGAGCCCACCACGGGTTTGGATGCCCATTCCGCGAACGTTTTGGTGGGCCAGCTGACCACTGTTGCATCCAGAGGCAGAACCGTCCTCTGTACGATCCATCAAGCCAGTTCGGCGATTTTCGACACCTTCCACAGAATCGTCCTGGTGGCCGATGGCAGGATCGCCTTTGCCGGCACCAGCGAACAGGCAGTCAGATTTTTTACCAGGTGACTAGCACATCGGAAGTACTTCCACTTAAGTTTCCTGGGAACCTTCTCTTTCACGAATCAATTCTATTTCCAGCCTAGGGTACGAGTGCCCAAAGACGTACAACCCTGCGGACTTTTTGGTCGCCACTTTGGCGATCACTCATAACGACGAGGACCATGGCAGAAGGACTACGCAAAGGATATGCGACGCTTTCCTCACGAGCGACGCCTGCAAGGAACTCGACGTCGTTCTGCAGCTGCAGCTGCACATTGCGCAATCCTATAACGTAAATACCGATAATGATCCGTTTCTCTGATAATTACCATCTCGTGACGTCATTGAACAAGGGAATCCTTATTTTACAGTGGAGGAAGGATCTGCGAGAGGTCAGCGAATTGTAAGTTCCTTCCCGAGGGGCTATTCACTCGGAAATCAGTGAAAACGATATTCTTCTTTGTGAACCGATTGCCTTTCATTTGATTAAACAACAATGCGACTCGGTAATAAGTTCAGCCGTAAAATTGTGACAATTCGGTGATTTCCAGCGATATCTGCATGCGAGTTTCCAGTTGATTACCGGCATTAAAATCCATGATTTCCTGAGTTAATAACCCCTCAGTCTAAATTAATCTCAAGTTAAGTAACTTATTAGTTATGATTTTTTAAGCAAGCATCCGCGATGGTGGTGGAGACTCTTCTGGTTGACCCATCGAGGGTTCAAGCAGGTCCTGCGAGACCCATCGCTGCAGTTATTAAGGATCCTCCAGAAGATGGTGAGTGACATTGTACATTAAACAGGAGCCCCGATTATTCGGTAATAATTAATCTGATTAAAATCTTCAGTGCGTAGCCACAATGGCAGGCCTTTGTTTCGTCGGGGCAGTCGCTCTGGACCAACCAGGAATCCAAGCTGTCCAAGGAGTGGTCTTCATTCTGGTGGCCGAAAATGCATTTTTTCCGATGTATGCAACCTTGGCCCTGATCCCTCAGGAGATCCCTCTCTTCCTAAGGGAATACCGAGGAGGGATGTACTCCATCCATCTGTACTACATCTCAAGAATGATATCTTTGGTGAGTAGGGGTCCAACAATTGGTACCCAAACGTCGTTATCCCTCATTATCTGGTACCATATATTTTTTTTACTGACCTTAATCATGAACTTCCACTTTTTGCTCATGGTTCCAGGTACCAGGATTAATGGTAGAACCGGTGCTATTTTCTACGGTGATATACTGGCTCGCAGGACTTCGAAACACGTTCAGAGCATTCGGTTTGTCCATGTTGGTGGTAATCGCCACCATGAACGTCTCCACGGCTTGCAGTGGGTTTTGCACAGTTTCAAGAAGATTATTAATATGATTTCATTAATTGGCATTTATTAATGTCTGTGACTATTGTTCCAGGTTGCTTTTTCTCCGCGGCTTTCGACACGGTGCCTTTGGCGATGGCTTATCTGGTTCCCTTCGACTATGTGCTGATGATCACCATGGGACCTTTTACCAAACTCAGGTTCCCACTTAATGAATATTATATTTCAGGACTGGGTTAAATAAACATTTGTGGGGATTTTTCTATCCGTGTTGCAGTACACTGCCGGTCTATATACGATGGATTAAATATATTTCCTGGCTCCTGCACTCCACCGAGGCTCTGACCATCCTTCAGTGGGAAGGAGTCCACAATATCTGTGAGTTACTTTCAATGTGATAAATACTTTTTATATCTCGCGGAAATTTCCCATGGGAAGTTTCAGGAAGAAGCATCCCTAGTAGCACAAAATATTTGTCCTATATTTTCTATATATTTAACGAATATCGTACATCTTGTAAATATTCACTTTAGAATATTATCTCTATAATATTTATATAACATTACCTCCATGTGTTTTCATAATATTTTTCTACCAGATGTACGATACATTTCGTTTCATTTTAATACAAGTATTTTTTAAATATTATCTGCCGAATACATTATAAACGTTTTAAATATATTTAAAATCAAAATCACACGTTTCGCTCCTATAATGAAATAGCGGAACGAAAATATTACCGAAATTTCTCGTGCTTTTGTTTTATACAGAATGAAGTGTCTGATAATAGTCGTGAAGTAAAAAATGTATTTTTATAACATGTTCATAAATTCAACAATATAATTTATAAATTATGGAAATGAATATGCCATTGGGATTTTCGACAAATATATTAGATATCTTCGAATGAAATATTAAAAAAATCTGTCGCTTTAGATATTTAGCAAAGATTACAAACAAATATTTAAGAATTGTTCTACGCTTCTAGGGATTTGTCATTCCTGATTAGTAGAGCGGATAATGTATATGTGGTTTCCAGAAACTCGGTAGAGTTTCGAGCCAAGTACATTTGTGCGAAACATTCGCAGTGTTCAGGAATGATCTGGGAAACATTACTGCAAAGTGTATCAATGTTGATTCTTTTGTTCTTTTTAGCCTGTCAGGCTCCTCATCCAGATTTGCCTTGTATCGCCGAAGGCTCTGTAGTTTTGGACCAGTATGACTTCGAGGCTGATCACTTCTGGCAGGATATGATGCTCATGGGGATCATTTACATGGGTTTCCACCTGCTGGGGTACAGCTGTCTGTGGAACCGCTGTCGCTCAAAATGAATTAGCTTTAGGTCGCTAATGCGGAAGAATTCGCTCAAAGAAACTAACGAAACGATAATCTTGTCTAGTCGTGCGAGTAAGTTTTGGCAAGACGTTAATCGTATACAATTCCTCGGATAATGGACGACTTCTGTTTAAGGGGGTTGGTAGATTGTAAGATGCGTCTTAATCAAAGTGAGTTTAAAAGAGAATCGGGGGTATAGGAAATACTTAAAGGGCTATTTATTTGATGTTTTATACAGAATTTAAGATAAAAATGTTTCAGAGAATGTATTTCGAACTGACGGACTTGTGTAGGCCGGAAATTTATAACTTCTATCTCACGATTCAATAGAACGGTACGTCCGAGACAAAAAGTTAAAGTGGTTTCGGAAACAAGAAGGTATGATTTAACGGCACAGATTTTTCATGAAAACCTGTGTTAAAAGATATTGACAATTAAAGTGCAGAAACTAAAGGTGATTTTTATCGGCCCTTCGTGTCGTAGGTTCTTAAATACTCTCTTCTACTCTCTAAAATCGCCTTAACGTTTCAGGCTTACCATTCTTTCCGAACCGTGGAAGGAAGAATGACATTTCCACCCTCCGGCATTTTGTAATGTTGAAAGACTTTCTACGGTAAATTCTGCACAAAATGTCAAGTAAAATGGCCACGTAAATGTTTCCAATACCTTTCTATTCTCTTTTAAACTCACTCTAATTAACCCTTTGAGGACGGAGCTCTTTTGACATATGAGCGAAATTCATCGGGGCGTGCAAGCAATATTGGACCAAACGTCGGACGCATTTCTGCCTCGTTAGGACGCAAAGGGTTAAATCGTATTCCACAACCCCCTTAAGACTCCACGAGTGGCCTAGGAAGCGGAATAGCAGGGTGGAAGACGCTTCTCCATTTCTTTCTCTCTTTTTTTTCTTACCGAAGTATATATATATAATGTCTAATCGTTAAGTAATATTTATCCCATCGATGGCTATTACATTAATTACATCTTCGAGGCACGCCTCGACGTATAACGATTAAGAGCTAGGGAAAAGAAAGGGAAAAGGAAACGTGAGGGTGATGAATTTACGAAGAGCCTCCCTTCGGGGCCTCTGTATACCCCTTCGTGTAAAACGAGCTTGCATACGTGTACTTGCATCGGGTAAATCGGTATATCGATTCGAGTATCGTGTACTGGACGTAAATTATGTACCCTGGGACAGAAATGGGAGAAAACGAGGCTCGCGTTAGGGCTCTTCTAGTTTCAAAAGAACCCTAGAAAATCCACGAAAATCCGCAAATGCGAGGAAAAAAGCTCTCTTCCGAGATTTCTTGAGAAAAGGATTCCATTCGCGACACCATTCGCTTCGTTACAATTTTTACTAGAATTATTGAAGAGAACCGTCGAGTCTATTTATTGTTAGCCCGTAATTTCGTGCTGTTGAAATGTGTCCAAATTTTATTGCATTATCTTTTTCAAACGAGGGTTCAAAAAGTTGGAAAGAAGTTACCCACGACACGTATGAATACAATGTCGAGTGATATTATGAAGTTTTACTTTTTAAGAGACTTATTATTGAATACGAAGGAAACGGCACGAACTTATGGACGATGTGAATGTAACCCAGGCAGTTCTCGCTTTAGGAATTTTTATAATTTGCACACTCTTTGTTAACTCTTTATTTCGCTTTGCGGATTTTTCAACCGTGGATACTCTCGAGGAATTAATTAAGTAAAATGCGAAAACTGCCTGTATCTTGATTTTGGAAATGCTCGAGTGCGCAAATGTTCATTTCCGTCGAGAATGGAGGATCAATTTGGAGGATGAGGTCCATTAATGGAATCGATCTCCTCCCTATCTCGAATTTGCCAAGGCCAGAAAAATATTGAACGAGCATCTGCGAGTAAAGTAGGCACTGAAATCAGCTACACGGTTTTGGGAACGCAGCACCCGTCCACTCTGAGTTTTTATATATATATACATACCTCCTAAAAAGATTTGGCTCTCCGGGCTTTCTATCCTTTTTCCTTATTTTATAGATTTCCCTTTCACTTAGTCGACGGCTCCGGTGTTAATTAATTGACTGTGAGACGCGCTTAATGCATACGAAACAGCGAGACCGAAACGAAAGCGTCCAGCAATCCTCCCATGGTTCTTCCATGGGATAAATGGACTTCGTACATCCGATTAATCCCTTGATAGTTTTATGGAAACAGTGAAACAAGAAAGAGAGCGAACAGAGGGGCGATACTTTCCCTCTCTTCTTTTCTTGCAATTAGATACACGGCCGCCATATTGTGTTGCGCAATGGTTTCACGTAAAGAGAGGAAAACAAGAAAACAGCCTCTCTGTTTGATCTTTCTCGTTTCTGTTGTCTTCGTACGTCAATATACGAAATTCATATATCCTATGTTCATGGATCTGATTTTAAAGAAAAAGAAAGAGAACAAATAGAAGGGCTACACTTTCGCTCTTCCCTTCCTGTTGTTATACAGGCGGCCGCCATATTGCGTTGCGCAATAGTTCCACATAAAGAGAGAAAAAGTGAGAGAATAGCCCATTTATTCTACCTCTCTCATTTCTGCTGTCCTCACATCCAGATCAGTGTGTGAGATACATGCATTCAACGTCCGTAATTCAAATTTCGAGTGCAGCGAAAAAGAAAGAGCGAACAGAGGGGCAATTTCATATTGCGGTACGTAGCTGTTACCCGTAAAAATGGCAAAAGAAAGCGAGAAAACATCCCTTTTGTTCTTTCTCCTTCGATTCTACTGTCTTTATAGTTAGATCGGTATGCGAGGTCCATACATTCTATCACCATGGGTTCATCATACGTAGACTGGGAGACATCAATGCCCTCCTATTCTGCACAGGCGATGCCGTATCTGCAGGGAAGGCATTCATATCCGCCACTATACCTTTCTCGGTTACTTCCGACACATTTATAATTACAGGGAGGAGGGTAGGAGGGTAAGGGTCGAGACTTTTGACTCCCCTCGCCCCTACGAGATACGAATTTGGTAGAAAAGCTAGCCTCCTCCTTTGGAAAAATAGCGGTCAAAATATAATCGCTACGAGTATCGCTAGGACTCGGTTTATGGCTGTCCTTCTATGTACATTCGCACGCTCCGTGGACCGGATTCTGGGAATAATCCCACCGACGAGAGATTTTTCACCCTTTCGCCTCCCAGTCGATCTTAATTAGCTTTTTTGTCTAATGTTAAAAGGAGTTTCCCTGATCCTATGTCGATTCGTCCTGGAGTTGGCGATCTTGAGCCATCTCTCGTCGTGGTTAGGATATTAATTTCTTCCCACGAAGTAGCATAAGGAGATACAACGCCATGTATTGAAATCCTCCCCACTTTAGGATCCTAAGATCTTCAGATTTTTTTAAGGATCTAGTGCCGAGAGCGTCTCCTCGACGAAATTTTTCAATTAGACATTATCGCCTGCTAGCGGGTCCGCTAGCCTTTATCGCGTTAAAAACACATTATGTGGATCATCCGTGGATTATCGTTTCGTTTTGCGTACCTTAATTGCAAGATTTAAAGCATTTTAGGTCATTTACGTTGGTGGGAAATGTTTTGGTCCTGTAGGATTGGAGTTCCCTGATTTTCCGCAAGGAGTGCTCGCGTCGTTAGATCAGGGAAAATCTGAGGTCCTGGGTCCTGATTCTGAGATCACTTTCTATGGAATCGAGCATTAGTGTTATGTCTCCTTATACTACTTCATGGTTCTACCCCTAAAATCATCTCATTGTCGGCGTTACTAGGATTACTGATGTATATCTCCTGTTCTATGTACAGTCACACATATTATGGAAAAAGACCGATGAGAGCAAGGACTATCTATCCATAAACGTAGGATATACGAAGCCCAACAATTCGTATGATATCCTTGCGAATGAATATTGAAAAAGGAAATAAATGAACACCGGGGCTTTCTTTCTCTATCAGATAGTTTGTTATTATACTGCGTTAAGCAACCCTTTCATGTAAAGGAAAAAACTAGAAAACAGCCCCTTTGTTCTCTCTCTTTCAGTTCCGCTGGCTTAATACATGGATCTGATTTTTAAGGCAACAAATCTGAAAAAGAGAGAACAAAAGGTCTCTACTCTTTCCCTTTTATTTTTACATAGACTGCCAGCATATTGCGCAATGCGACCGTTTCATGTAGAAAAGAGGGAGAAAAGCAATGTCCATTTTCTTTCTTTAAATTCTGCTCTAAAGTCAGATTATTGTTTGGCATTCGCACACCCTACATTCATGTATCTGTCGACGAAGGACCTCTTTTCCTCCAATCGGACCCAATTTTTCCTGGCACATCTAAGAATTATTAACTATCGTCCTTCCACGTTTACTCGCACTTAATCGGGACAATTCCGACGATTACAGATGGACCCGTCTCTCGTCGACATAATTTAACCATTACTTTACACCGACGATTACTCGGCCGGGTCCTAATAGTTTACTTAACACTCATCTTAAGTCCTGTACACAGAGACGTCGAAACTCGCCTAAACCTACGGAATGGAAAACATTGATTTTCGGGTGTCTGTAGCCCGCAAACTGGACACTATCGAGAGACTCCTCCTTTAAACACTCTCCTATACAGTTGCCTATCTAAACGATTACACGATTACTTCTATGGCTGACAGATTTAAATCTGGGCGACGCGTCGAGCTGTCTCTGGGAGTCCCAGCATCCCGTTTATCAATCGCTGATTAATTCTCGTTTAACGAAATTGTCCTTTTCACAGTGAAAAGTACTCAGCTGATCGCAAACTACCCATGTGAAAAATAGTAGAAATTCCGAGATAGTATCCAAACCCTAGCTAGGGTTTTCACGTTAGGAATTCCTAGTCTCAGTCAAATTAAACCCTAGACTTGGTTTTGCATCCAAGACAATTCCTGGCCAAAGTCAAGACTTAGTTAAGATTTAATTTAGCATTCTACATTAATTTAAGCATCCCTGATAGGGTCTAGGGCCTAATTAAAATTTAAATATACATCTTCGTAATTTTGTCCAGTTCCTCCTTGAAGGTATCTCTTCATTTGCTGCACTTCTGCATAAGCAAATGAAAAGCCAACTTTATTTGTTAACAACAAGTTAGGATGTCCTAATTAGGTCCTACCTTTGTGAATTTTCAACGGGGGTATCAACAGTTAATAATCGTTGGACGCTGGGACCCATACGAAAAATAATTTTCGACGTCGACGCTGCCTACGATATGTACCTATGCGCGTCCAAGATGGCGGCGACGCCAATTAATTAACCATCGGTAGAGTAATTCATTTTCGTAGAATCGTAAGACTACTTTCGGTGTAATTAACTGGCGTCGTCTCATGAAGGGGCACCTCATTATTGCACTAATCCCATTAACACTTAGGAAAGGACTTCCCTATTAAGGGACTAGCAGTCTGCAGGAGTCTGCAAGGTCCACCAAGAGTCAACAACGAGGACGTCTTCGGTGTCCAGTCCGCCTAGGAGTTACTTCGACCTTTCGCTACTTATGGATGGATTACATGTGTTGGGCCTTCGCGGGCATAAAAACTCTAAGTGAACAGAGAGATACTTTAGACCTTAAATTATACCTCGCTACGACCTACTCTAGAGTACCGTATTTTACTCGAATCTAGACCTACGATCTTAAGGGGGTGTGAAAGTGGCACCTAAGAAATCAACCGATCGCGAAACTTTTCTCCAAATTCTGTGAATCGAATCGTTTCAAACTTAACATCGCGAACCGAGAGATCATAAGGAAGGTCCTTCGAACCGTGAGATATTATTTTCTATTTAAATTTTCAAAACTGTCTAGAAATAGAATTTAATTAAATTGAGATTTATTGGGTGGAAGGACCTTCCTTATAGCCTCCATATTCAGATAATAAAGTTTGAAAAGATTCGGTACACCCAGATTGGAAAAAAGTTTCATATTCGAGACATCGACGCCACTTTCGCATCGCCTTAAACCTCCACCCCTTGACTTTATGTCCTATCCTTACCAATTCTGGAGTTTCTAACTCTATTCTCGATTCCCCCTAAGAATTTAATTACGTTCTCGCTCTCTCGTCTCCTCTTTCCTACCTTATTTAATACATGTTCGGTTAATAGAAACGCTAGATTAGGGCGGAGTTCCCTTGATGATTGCTACCAGTCGTTAATCTCGGCACCTAGAAGCATCCCTTTTAAGCTGCTCTGTACATATCACATGCCGATTCTCTATACACGTTTTCCCGCAAGCCGACCTACTTCGCCAGGACCAAGATCCTGAACCTCTTGTCCTTTCCTAAACACTGAGCTTCCAGTGTGTCACGATCCAAGCTCTGGTTTTCTGGTGGAGAGGATATAAATGTATAACCAATGGACAATGGACGGCTATCAGACGTGTACCAACGTCTGGAGGTGAAGAAAGGATCAGAAAGGAGACGGAAAGAGACGAATAAACGGGAAAGTAAAGATGAGAAAGGAAGTGAAAATAGAAAATTAAGGACGTGAGGGAAGGATCCGATAGGACTTTGAAAAAAGAAAAAACGAAAAGGAAGGGCAGAAAGGAAAAGGATGCGAAGGAAGCGAAGAAAAACAAGAACATAGGATACTTTCACGATGGGCAGGGATTTTTTTCTTCCCGGAGAACTTCTTCCTCTTCCGGACCATTAATACTGGGGGAACTGGAGGAACAAAGACAAAGGACGCAAGGACAAAGACGACCATGGAGAGACTTTCAAAATTGTGGGGCCGCCATTAGAAGATATGAGGAGCAAGCTGGAGCTTCCAGAGGGAAACAGGCCGAGCGAAGACGGTGACCTGGCCCTTTTCTTTCCCTCCAACCAAGAACACGTAGAGAGGGGCTGGTCCAGGGGTGTTGACTTCAGTTTCGGCCATCTTGGCCCTCTGTCTTTCGGCCCTGGATGCACTGACTGCTCTTCTAGATGGAGAACCCAACGGCAAGCTCTTCGGGGGCGCCCTAGGCCTGATCTCCTGCAGCTCCAGGAGCTCGGCGAAGGTTTGGGATGCTGATCTCCCGTGGCCATCTTCCAGGACGCTGTCTGGGGGACTGTTTAGCATCTTCGCGTACTTTGTGTCATTGTTGGTCTCGAGGCCGAGGTAGTTGGGGTTGCAGAACCCAAATTGACCCTCTCTGATGGCGCTTGGTCTGTGTTTTGGCTTCCTTGGCCAGTCTTCCTCGGCTAAAGGGTCCCCAGGACTTCTTGCTTCGATGCTGGCGTAGTCGGATGTGGACTCTTCACCTTCTTCCAGGTCGGCGAACCGAACCGACGCTGATGTTGGTATCTTTGTCGTTGTTGGCGTCTTTGGCGTCTGGACAGCTTCGTAGAGGTGCGAGCTGTAGCTCTCTCCTCGGGTTGGTTGGCAAGCTTGATGAACACTAGCGAAATCCCTGCAAAAGAGACGAGCTTAGGAACTCAATTTAAAGCTGACATCTGGGACTTGAATGCCTTCCCTGCAGATATGGTGCTGGTGCATGGGAAGGCATTCGGGTTCATCGGGGCATTCGAGTAAAAATTGTCGGTCTTTATTGAGTCTTTAAATTTTATCATCGAATATAAAGAGTGTCAGGACCCAGCTAGAAGAATTTAGAATACCGTAGAAATGTGATATTACAGAGTCAGATGGGAATATATATGAAATACTTTTACCAATGATTGTAAGAGAATGCTGGCTTGTCTCGGGGCTAACACGTGTTTTTATCATTACTCTCTCTTCTCATTACTTTACTGATTTCATCATTACTTTGCTGAAATGACATATGGAACGCTTTGGTTCGTATAATTATCAACATAGACTGTAAAAGACTTCGACATAAATATAAATGTCGGTAACGAGACGCGTCAGCTTATGTTACCACTTGAGTATTCAAAATGACGTTACTACCAAAAAGGGTACAGATGAATTTCAATTTGTTGATCTGGATTAAATTTCTCAGCGCCTTTCATATCATCTTAAATACTCGTATTGCCCAAAAATTGACGACTTGGGGGACACTTTAGCAAGAATGTTCATTGAATGTTCATTCAATACCGTTTTTCTACCGCTTCGGCCACCTCGATCAGCCTCGAGGTCGGCGGATCTTTGCGCTCGTCGTCGCTGTCTTCGTCGGGGTCGACGAAAACTAATCTGGCAGCCTCGACGGGTGTCAAAACGGGTGTTGGCAGGGTCAGGGCTCGGAAGTTTGGCACGGAAATAGGGTCCCTCGTCATCCCGGAACTGGCGGGCTCGGCTGCCTTCGGAGTCTCCGGATGCTTCTGCCTCCTTCTCGCCAGGGTGTTGGCACTTCTCGACTTCACCATCCCCGTGGACGGCTCCACGATTTCCACGTCCACTTGCTGGAAAGGATAATACGTGTTTGCCTGCGGGCAGGCTCATTTGTGAATGCGTCTCTCGGTGCGCCGAATTATCCCGAACGAAAAAGTCACTTTACATGAGAAAAAGAAACTGGCGAACCGAAAAATCTTTTACTTCCTATTATCTACTAAATAAGTCCTAGGGTTGACTAAATGAAATTATTGCAAATTCCAAACGACATTCCATTTTATTGAGCCTACCTTCCTGTTTTTATTCGTCATGATTGGATTTTCTGTAATTAAACGTTTTTGAATGACGAATTGATTGGCGTGAAAAAGTGAAAGATTTTGCATCATGGATTTTCAGAAAATCTGATACTTTTCTCTTGAAACTTAGGCACTTACCGGTGAACTTTTGGAATAACACTTATTCGCCAGTAGTAATTTTTGATATCAAGTACTAAGTTGCTTTAATTACTCGGAGCCAATCTCGGGCATGACACTTTTCCCGCAGAAAAAAAAATCTAAGTAATGCACAATTGCCGTCATTTATTTTATTCCAATAAAACCTAAGGTGTGAAGAAATCTCTTTAACAAAAAGCATTTAGATTGTCGCGGGTAATTAATTTCGCCGAGAAAGTAAATTTTTCGTTCAGGGTAGGTCCTGGCAATCTGGGTCCAGCACTGGTATCATTTAACAAACATTATCAATTACCTCTTGACTTTCTTCGTGGTCATCCTGTCCACTGAGCACGGAATAGCTGCACTTGGTGGGATGGCTCAGCCTCGAGAGGTTGATCTGAGACAACTTCGAGATCTCTTTCAGGAAACTGGGCCTAGCAGGTGCTTCACTTGGGGAAACCCTGCTGCACGGGATCCTGGGTCTCTGAGACCTAGGTCTAGGTCTCGGATGGTCCAGTCCAGGTCCTCTGATAAGAAGTTCCGAGACCGCCAGGGCGACGCTTTCCGCCCTCGGTTGTGGCTTCAGTCCTGGGACCGAAAGCTTCTCCCAGGACTCCGTCCCTAGAACGGAAACGATCCCCACCAGACATTAATTTACATTTTCGAAACGATACAGCAGACAGACCCTTTAAGGTGACACGAAAGTAGTATCCGATAGGTCAATCATTTGTGAAACTTTTCGCCGAATTGGATGTACCGAATCGTTCACACCTTTACAACGTGAATACAGAGACTATAAAGCATGCCCTGACACTCATGAAGTTACAATGTTTATAGAGAATTTTAAAAATGACTATAGATTGAAAAAGAATCAAATTTATGGGTGTAAGGACCATTCTTATAACCTCCGCATTCACATTGTAGAGTTTTAAACAATTCCCTATGTCCAGCTCGGAGAAGTTTCACAATCGAGACTTTTGATGCCACTTTCGTGTCACCTTAAATCTGTATTGATCGGTTTCAGTGGATTTATCGCAATGACTCGTTATCACATGTGCAGATCATAACGTTCTATGTCCATATTACCGAAATGAAACCTCCAAAGCTCGTTCGTGGGGAGACCTCCACTCTCGCCCCCAAAGATCAGCATGCAACTTGGGAGTCTGCACGCTGCATGGCCATGCAGGGGTCCAGGACCAGGTTTGTTCTTCAGCAGACACCAGGAAGCCGTGTTGACGTCCCACCTCCAGCAATCGCTCCTTTCCTGGAGGTCCGTCATCCCACCATAAACGTACATGGCATCCCCATGGAGAACGGCCGAGTGCTTGTGCCTCGCCGCGGGTCCACTTTCGCTGGACGACAGAAGGTGCCAGGATTCCGTTTCTAAGAGAATTCCCGGCAGAATATATCGCCAGCCATTCCTCAAATCCCTAAGTCTCCTATAATCTAATCTTCTAAATTAAATCATTAACCCTTTCATTACGACAGTCCGCTCCGCCACTGAACACAACACCGCGCCGAAAGGGTGCACATTGCGTTTCGGCTTTGTCTTTGGTGTTTGAACTTACGTCTTCCACCTGAACAACGCCTCCTTGACTCCCTTTTGTACATACACTTTTCTAAGTGTTAAATAATAATTGTTTTGTCCCATTATTAAATTGAGAAGTAAAAGTCTAACGTTAAACTTTTAAGAAATTAAAAGCTATCCCAATAGCTGGTCTTATCGTCTCGTCTCGGTGGCCAAACTGTTTTACGTATGTTCAATACGTACTTTTAGGATGATTAATCCAATACGGGTAATTACGATTAAAAGATGCTCTGCCGATATGGCAGAATTTCTTATTGATTAAAGTCGGCATTCGTAAGGAAAGGGTTAAGCTATCGCGTGAACAGGTGGACATGTATGGAGGGGTCGCCAACTACCCCAACAAAGATCGGCACTAATTGAAGGAGGATCCAAGGGAAAATATGAGAAGATTCCTGAAATTGTATATGGAAATAATGCCAAGTACCTGTCTCTAAATGAAGAAATTGAGATATTAAGAAGACTTTCGACCTAAGTCTCGAAGAGGGCTTACCGAAATGGAAGGCCCACAATTCCGACGAGCTCCCTCGTAGGTCTTGGTACCCTCCATAGATCAGCATCTGTCCTCTGTACACCAACGCCGTGTGTCCTCTTCTTCCTCTGGGGACAGCACATCCTCTTTGGGCTCTGATCTTCCGCCATGTGTTGGTCTGAGGAATCGAAAAGTCCCGAATCCCCGGAAAGTTTAGCAGGCGATAACGCGGTTGAGCTGATTACGATGGACTATCCACTCGGAAATCGGTGAAAAGGATTTCCTTTTTTTGAAAGCCGATTGTCTTTGTTTTTATATGACAAAGAGCAACGTGATTCGGTAACAAGTGGCTTTATCATTGTGACAATGTTTCGGTGATTTCCAACAATCATGTGAAAAGGGGACAAGATATGTTCCCACGAAGGACTTTTTAGCTCGTTCTGGCGCCTCTCAAAACGCCGCCATATTGCACTATATTAACCCATTAACTGCCAGGAAAATTTATAGGCGTTCTTGGTACATATGTTTATTATGAGATACCTCGTAGTTGGCAGTGAACGGGTTAAAAGTGTCATTGGTTAACAAACGTGGCCACCTTTTGGAAGTACACAATGGTTGGCCATAATGCACTTTATCTCCTGTACATCGTCATGTCCAACGATTTCCAGCTAATTTCTGCTTGCGACTTCCAGTAGACTTCCACGTGATTTCGAGTATTAAAATCCATGATCTCCTGAGTGGATAATCCTTCGATTGGTCATTTAACGAAACTACCACTGGGGAAAGCTGATGATTTCCATTTTCCCCAGTTAATTCAGACTTCGGTCTTCCCACTGACAAGGTGGAGCAGATGGAGGCAGTGACTCTTTTGTCACTCGCATGTCTAATCATCGTCCGTGAAAGAGTCTCATATTCAGCAAGGGAACAAAAGGGATGACGGAAAGGGAAGGAACCGCGACCTGACGTGGAGGAACGGGAAGGTGAATCGCCTACCTTCCGCGGAGGGATTTCTTAAAGGAGACCCGGCTTTCATTTGCGCCAAGGTGCGCTCAAAAGAGGCCTAAAGCCTTTAAGACGTTGCCGAAGGTCTGGGACTTTCATTCCAGGAGGTAAATGGAAAACAAACCAGGAAATTTCATATTTAAGCCCTAGGTAGGACCCCTACGCTAGGGTTCCCAGCCCTAGGTTTAGTTTACACCGATCACTTGGTGTATGTACGCATACTAAAGACGTAGATTTACCAAATTCTCAGAGTAAACGATTATGTATCATCTTAGTAGGGTACTCTTGGAAAGTACGGGGCATACTCTCTCGGTACGCTATCGTTTCCATCAAGAGTTTGATAAAACTACGGTTTAGTACGCTTACCAAGTAAAGTAGACTCTGGTTAGGACTTGGTCATGCACTAAACACAATTTTGCCTTATCAAACGCAGGCTAAAAGTCAGTTAGGATTTGATTTGATATCCAAGGCCATTTTATCTAGACTTTATTATTAGGTTTAGGGCGCCATTAAAATTTAATTGTTCATACAATGTAATTTTATTAGACTGTTGGGTCAAGTTAGGTCGACGTAACTAGGCTTTGTACAGATAAATGTGACGTTTCGATGCAACCCCTACATTGATAGGTCGGAACCCTAGCTAGGGCCTATCTACCGCTTTTTTAGATTTTATGTAGTTCTATCGAGTAGACTCCAGGGAATTTAGAATTTCCGCTAGAAACCTCTAGGAACGACCCCTTTCTAGGGAATCTCAGGATTCTGCTTGGCAAGGAAGTCCGAAACAATCTAGTCCACCTTGACGAGGAGCAGAAAAGTCTGCCAAAAGGTCGCAAATGGGATGCAGGTCGGAGTGGCGTTTAGTTCTTTTGATGTCTAGTGGCAATCGTTGGAGTTTTTACCCTCGCCAGCCAATGTCGGGGGTAGATTGCCGAAGAGAAAAAGGGCCAGGAATTGTAGGGGTGTAGAATCGCTGGGAGGGTTACGTGGGTGCCGGTAATGCACAATGCCACTCGTAAGGGTTGCTCGAAGTAATTGCGTAATTCAAAATGCGCACGCAACCCCCAGACAGGGGTCGTTTTCCTTTCGGGTTGCCTTTCGTGGAGCTCGAAGGAAATTTCTGGGAAGTAATATATAATAATATAAAAGGAGGGAAAAATGGAGGCTGGGCGGTTTCCTCGTCTCGTCTGCGGTTTCCCCCAACAAGGAAACGGGATAACCGGCTACCAGATAACCTCCCCCTCTTCCAGAGACAAGGAACCAGACTCCGGCTCTCGTTGAGCTTATTATCGTCGTTATCGTTATTAAAATACAACCCTTGGGAAGCCGGAGGGCCGGTATTGACGGGATTAAGGATCCTCCCTTTTCCTTCGAGGATCGATATGCACGAGTGGTTGCTTTTCCATTCCACCCCCTCTGGCCATGATGGCGCCGGATCTTTAACTGGAGTTTTATTTAAGCCCCGTTGCATATTCATGGACAGATACAGAGGGTAGTGCGCCATGTTCAGGGCCTTTGTACCCGGAGTAGCGATTAGTCGGTTCCCTCGAATTTCCGGCGCAATAATTGCGAAAGTCCCGGCATAATTGCGCGAGTTGTGTTTCCCTTGCCCTCCCCGGCGGCTTTCGAGGGTCTTCATTTTTCCCGCCTCCCTTTTTCCTACAGTTTTTCAATGAAGGAAACTCGGGGGTGGAAACTCGCCCTTATCTGCATGCGGGGTTAATCCGATAGCGTTCGTCTCGGCATCCCCGAGATGTGAATTGGCATGACGTGGCCCGGAAAGGGAGGAACGACCCCAGCTTCCGGCATGGTCCAGTGATTAAAAACAAATGGACCAAGGGTAGTCATGGCAACTCGGCGGAGTGGAAGCTGCTACCCTGGAGAGACAGGGGATGGGATTCTCTTTACTGTGCAGCATGGCATGCGATGCCCTTTGCGGTCCACTCTCAAAAGGGAAAAACCTGAATTCCGTTGAAATTAACCTCACGTGGAAAGAACGGTGGAGGTTCTATGTTTTATCCATCACAAGAGTGGAGATACAAATATTATATAAAAACGTACGATTAAAAAAAAGGGTTCGATAAGAAGGTAGATATATGAAATTCATTTTGTGCATCCTCATAAAAATGGCAGCGTAGGGTAAATAAGCACAAGAGACAGGACACCAATATTGTATAAAAATGTATGCAGAAGAAAAAGGAAGTAGATCTCCGAAATTCATTTTATGCATCCCCGTAAAAATGGCGGCTTAGAAATAATACCTTCAGATGTGTACAAATAACAATGGAGGTTGCACACATTTCCGTAAGAAGAAATACGGTACAAGTGATGTTCAGACATGTCTGGATAAAAGAAAGGATTCGATAAGAGGGAGGTATTACATTATTCATTTCGAGGATCGGCGTGAAAATGGCGGCAGATATCCCTAGATGCAGTAAAAGGTGTCAGAAATTTCGAAAAGGGGGGTTCTCCCGTCGTAAAGGGAACCTTTCAGCCCTCCAAGTTGTAGGGTCGGGTGGAGGAGGAAAGGGAAGAGTGTCGCATTTCCGCTTCTATGTGGAGGGGCTGTAAAGCAAGGGCAGCAAGGAAGGAGGAACTGTTGACACCAGATGTTGCCAAAAACCACCCTCAATATTGATTGCTCTTCGCGAAAGAGCTGCTGGAGGGAAGATCGCTTTAGGTCGTCGAGAAAATCGCGGTCATATTGCCGAGGAGGCGGATTGAAACTCCGAAATGAAATTCGGGGGCAAATTTGCGGATAAATTCATCCCCCTAGTGAGAGGAAAATTTCCCCATTCGAGGGATGAGGAATATCCCAGAGACAGCGGGGCTGGAAGTTTAAACGGCGCGCGGGAAAGATGTTGAAAATGTTCTCCAAGGAAAATTGGATTAATTTGGTGTAAAATGTCCTCATGCATAAAATTTGGGACGATCCGAGTTGGAGCCCCGTAAATACACGGGGATGAGAAAGGGGGACCATGTAGACAGCGCCCTTGCAACATTGATGACAGGGCGTTCTCCCCTCCTTATTAAGGGAGTCTTGACGCCCTAAGGTACCTTCCGACCTTCGATATTAATGATTCGTCTTCCCTTCACTCGAATGCATACCTCGTTACATTATTTACCCCTCGTCGGGGCTTCCATTTCTCCTCTCATCGATTCCCACCATTTTTCCTGCTGCCCCCTTAAGCTCCGTTTTCATCCCCCGGAAGAAATGGAGAAATACTTCCACCATCCGAATAAATAAATAAAGAAATTCCTTGAATTAGAAGCTCTTCTCGCGCGACCATTCCTCGTCTGATCGATCCTTCGCCATTCTTCTTTCTGCCCCTCAAGCCCCATTTTCATCCCCCGGAAAAAAGAAAATCCAGGAAACTTTTCTCGGCCAAACAGAGACATAAATAAATTCCACGAGTAAGAGATTTTCCCGCATATTTCCTCCCCTTGATTTTCGCCTTCTGCCCCTTAAGCCCCACTTTCATCTCCCAGAGAAAAGAGGGAAACTTTTCTCGTCGAAATAAATATATAAAGAAATTCCGCGCATAAGAAGCTCTTTTCGTGGATTTCTCTGCTCCCTGACTTCCGCCATTTTTTCTTTCTACCCCTTGAGCCCCATTTCCAAGCCAGAGAAAAAGAAGGGAACCTTTCTCCCGTTCAAGTATATATCTAAAGAAATTCCATGAATTAGAAGCTCCTTTCATGCATCCATTTTCTCTTCCCGGTTCCGGATGCTCCTCCATTCCTGCTGGATCGATTTTCGAGGAAACTACCCCTCGGTTTCCTGCAATGATCGGCAGTCTCGAGGATTGCACGGCGAGACGATAACGCTTAATGATCTACGTCAAAGGGGAGGATGTCTGGGGGTTGGAGAGAGATCGGAGAAACGTACCTATGTCGGAGGGAATCGGCCTGGGAAGAAAGGGAAACGCTGGGGTGGAAAAGTCCTACCCTCCTGGAAACCGCTAAATCAATAGGAACGTCATCGGTAACAAGTTTTACACGTCCCTCGTCGATTCGCGAACAAGGGGTGGCTGTGACTGACAAGGGTGACGCCGTCTGACCATATTGGGCCAATACTACTTGGGGAGTGCCAGGACTGATCAGGCGAATTTTGGACAGAGTTCATTGGCCTAACTGGCTTCGACTAAAGGAAGACAAGTCATCGCAATCGAACCGACTTTGATGAGCCTGTTTTGGGTAGACGCTTTAATGGCTAGCTAGGGCTCAGACAGGTTGCTAATCTATCAATGTAGGGATTGCACTGTAATATTGCACTTTTCTCTGTACTGCCATATTGGGACAATACCACTTGGGGAGCGCCAGGATTGATCGAGCGAATTTTGGACAGAGTTCACTGGCCTAACTGGCTTCAACTAAAGGAAGACAAGTCATCGCAATCGAACCGACTTTGATGAGCCTGTTTTGGGTAGACGCTTTAATGGCTAGCTATGGCTAAGACAGGTTGCTAATCTATCAATGTAGGGATTACACTGTAATATTGCACTTTTCTCGGTACTGCCATATTGGGACAATACCACTTGGGGAGCGCCAGGATTGATCGAGCGAATTTTGGACAGAGTTCATTGGCCTAACTGGCTTCGACTAAAGGAAGACAAGTCATTGCAATCAAACCGACTTTGATGAGCCTGTTTTGGGTAGACGCTTTAATGGCTAGCTAGGGCTCAGATAGGTTGCTAATCAATCAATTTAGGGATTACTTTTCTGTGTACTGTCATTATTGGGCCAATACCACTTGGGGAGTGCCAGGATTGATCGGGTGAATTTTCGACAGGGTTGATTGGCCTAATTGGCTTCGATTATAGAGAGACAAGTCATTGCAATCAAACCGATTTTGATAAGCCTGTTTTGGGTAGAAGCTTTAATGGCTAGTTAGGGCTCAGATAGGTTGCTAATCTATCAATGTAAGGATTACACTGTAATATTGCACTTTTCTCTACACTGTCATATTGGGTCAATACCACTTGGGGAGCGCCAGGATTGATCGGGTGAATTTTCGGCAGGGTTCATTGGCCTAACTGGCTTCGACTAAAGGAAGACAAGTCATTGCAATCAAACCGACTTTGATAAGCCTGTTTTGGGTAGAAGCTTTAATGGCTAGTTAGGGCTCAGATAGGTTGCTAATCTATCAATCTAGGGATTATCCTGTAATGTTGCACTTTTCTCTATAGAGCAGTAGGGTCTTAGCTTGATATTAAAACTTGTCTTGTATGCATGGCCAAGTCCTAGGGCCTATTTTTTATGCCTAAGAACTCCAACGAGGAAACCCTACCTAGGGTCTGGATACCGTATGTGGTTAATCAATCAGTTTTCCACGTGAGAACCAAATTTGGAAACCTAGAATCACCCAGGGGTGGTTTCGAGCTTCATTTCAACCCCCACCATTTCGGATGTCGATAAAAGTATCAGAAGAGTTTCGTGCCAAGACCTCACCATACCCCAGCATGCAACAACAGTCAAGACGTAATTTATTCCTCAGCAATTCCAATCGGACCCAGATTACTCTTCCCGTGGAATCACGAGCCGACAGACTTCCGTGAAAGGGTCGTAAATACGTCCAGATTATTCGGCAGGGCGATAGTCAGCGTAGGATCGATCCATCCATCTTTCGCCCCTCTCGCGAGGAAGGAAAGGGGAATTGGGGAACTTTCCTACTTCATGCAACTTCAAACAGTGGAAGCAACTTTTCCTAAGGGTGCAGAGATGGGATTGGAGGTTCGAACAGATCCTCGGGATTTCACTGGTGAACTTGGTCTCACCTTGACTGTGTAAATCCACAGGGGTGTCTCGGTGCCGGCCGAGAACCCTAGTTCGCCCCCGAAGACGTATATGCAGTCCTTGAATGCTACCGCACTGTGTTCCTGCAAGGCTGGGGGTCTTTCTCCCCCGGGATGTAGTTCTTCCCACTTGCTCTCGGCTGAAAAGTAAAAGGTTTCATTATTCAACGAGGTACAATAGGTTAGTACGCGTTACTATGGCCGGTGGATCACCAGTGCCCAACTCTTGGTCAACCCGTCACAGCGCTCGTCTTCGACCGCCACAATCAATCGCCACTCCCGTCTTATCGGTGCATGCTGGAGAAATCTTTCCCCTACAAAAATTGATCAGCAGGGTTCATGGAACAACTTTTGTATGGGCCATTTTTCTTGTATCCTTCGAGGAGTCACGCATACGTGGAACGAATCCTGCCCTTCAAAACCTCGTTCTACAAATTCTCTTCTTCAGATTGTCCCCGAAAAAATGGACGGACAGGGTATATGGAACAATTTCCATGGGAAACATGTTTCCTACATAGTTGACTGACAGCGTCTTTTCCAAACTTTGGCAAGACACCTCGCTGTCAGTCCGCGGGAAAATTGGCTTTTCACTTTCAGCCAACTGTGAGGCTTTTAATGGCGCGTGCACGCGTTCGTATCCAGTGGCGCCATTTGTTGGCGTGCTTTTGTCTCCCCAGAAATCGTACCAAGGGCTCCAGGAAATAATGGGGACCTCCTGCCATGTTGTGCCATCACACGCACGTATTTCATCCACCAAGGGTGGCGCCTTTAATCCGGTGGCGTGCAAAGATTTTAATGCACCTCGCGTTGGTGCATTTTAATTGCCTACTTCTGCCTCTGGGCAACTCCTTACAGCTGGCCCAGTTTCTTCACAGAGACGAGGCATGCACAACGGGAATGTAACAGTCAACTTTCGAGATAAAAACTCACTTGTGCTGCCAGAGAGGATTAAAGGACATATTTCTATCGCTTCTTATAGTTACTTGATATGCATTTTTATCACCAGATCGCATTAACTCTCAACATTATGGGAGAATCTTCGCCAGTATGCAGAAATTCATGGGAACATTAGTTCCCATGGAACCGACGCCATTTATCCAAGTCGATCGAGCTTAGGGGAGTTTGCAAGTTTCCGGCGGGGAAATTAATGCCTTCGCTTTCTTAAATCGTGCCTTTGTCCGCCCCGAAGATTCTCCTAACGCGTAAATTCTCCTCGGGGGTACGAAGGGGATGATAAGTCACGAGGTCATGAAAGTAAAAGGAACGTCGAAAGTGTTAAGGCCTTCCCAGATACTTCGTGTGACAGTAACCGTATGGTAGTAAAAACAGACCAATGAAATTGTAAAAATATGTAATATAGCAGCATTTCATACCAGAGACCTAAAGACTATAACTCGCATAACAGCATCCGTAAGCATATCGGTAAGAACTTGGAAATGAAATTGTAGAAAATTTAATATTGCGTTTTATAGTCGCAGTTTGCGGTACGGTTTGCTTACGGTTACTGTTCTGCGAAGTAGCCGTGAAAAATTGGTTAATGAAGATGTAAAAAAATGTAATATAACAGCATTTTATTCTAGAGATCTAAAGACCTCGATGACAGTAACCGTAATCATAACAATAAAAACTGGGAATTAAACTGTAGAAAATTTAATACCGTGCCTTATGTTTTGCTATTTATTCCTCACTTGTTACTGCTACGCTTACGGTTACTGTTCCGCCGTGAAAAACTGGGCAATTAAATTGCAGAAAATGTAATACCGCAGTTTTTGCTGTTATTTTTACGGTTACTAGGAGGTGAAGTATCCGTGAAGATTTTTAAGGCCTTAAGAAAATAAGAGAACTGGCTTCTGAACGTAAGAAAATTCCCGAACGTAGGGCGCTGCATAATTTTTCTGCAATTTTATTCGGTCAACACATTCCGTTACGCTTATGATTACTGATATACGAGGTATCTGGGAAAGTTCTGGGACGTGATTAAAGTCTTGTTTCCGAAGGACTCATTTTCTCAGGGTTGGAAATAATGTGGCCTCGCGTAGTTTCGTAGCTACTGGAACGTGCTTGGGAACAAAGCCTCCTAGATTTACGTAAGAGCCGTAACGCGCGGCCGGAGTGCTTGCACCACTCGCCAAAGTCTCTGGAGATGCCCGACATTGATTGCGGACACGTGTCGTATCTAGTTGGCACTGAGACAATGACTCTTTTTGTGCGGAAATCGTGTGATGGCCAAAGTAGCGCTCCTCGAGGTCCAATACGTGCCGAGCGCGAGGCCGATCGGTCAATCTTTGCCGACGTAAGAAGCGCTTACTCGGAAGCTCGTCAGCTCCGAAAAGTGTTTCCTCGGGGAAAAAAGAAAAGAAAAGTCCGCCACGGATCTAAGAATAAAGAGATGGAGCTTAAAGTTAGTCTCTAGACGCGGGAACTGTGGCGGATTTTTCTTTGTCACGCAACAGACGCTATACGAACCGCGGCTGCTATAGTGCTCACGATGTCTTTTTTAAAACACGATAAAGCGTCAAAAGTTATGAAGATCGTGAAATTGTGGCGGACATTGGCTTTAGACATGAAAATTGCAAATGACGGTAACAGGTGTCGTGTATTTATCATTGTTTCCAAGGCAAATAAAACACGCGAGAATGCTAGGAAAGAAAGATGGCCGCCACTCGTTTGAACTGCCAAAGTCAAAGTGGGTATACGGCGTCTTTTCTAAAAACGATAGAAACCGCGTGCCAAAAGGTATAAAGATAATGAAATCTAAACGCTGAGTTAAGGATATCAAAATTGCAAATGATGGCGGCGGTTACTTTGTGTTTCTCATGATTTTACGTCCGTTTAAAGCACGCGAAACCTGGAGAAGAAAGATGGCCGCCGCTCGTTCCTTCTTCTTGCGTCTCGAGCTTCACGTTTTATTCCGAAATACATGCTTCCTAGAATGGATTAGGAATAAAGCTATGAAACCCAATATTATATTCTAAACGAGGGTTCGCCAAATGGAAATCAAAATTGCAATTTGTGTTTCTATTGATTTTACGTCCGTTTAGAACATGCGAAACGTGGAGAAGAAAGATGGCCGCCGTTCCTTCTTGCGTCTTGAGTTCCCCCCACGCGGCGACACCCTTTTTTCCATTTTTCTTAAATTCATCCTTATCACCCTCAAACCATAGAAAAAAGTCAGAATCTCGGTATTAAAATTTCTGCATTTCCTCGCGATAGCTGATCGCGTACAGTTCCATTTATCGCTCTCTTTCAGTTTTATTTCCGTTTCCTGGCTCGTCTTCGTTTCGAGCGTCGTCGAGCGCATCCGCAAGTCGACCCACCCTTCTTCTTGCTCCTTTTCCGACTTCTCTTTCTGGATCTATTCTTTCCGCAGTATCCGCAATTTCCGACGCAATCCGGACAGTCGCAGCAGGAAGGCTTCAGATTGACGATCTCCTCTCGCAATTCGTATTGACCATCTACGCGTTTCAACGATCCGAAGGCCAGGCCTCGCTTCAATTCCGCCTTGAGCTGTGCCAATACGTCCAGATTAATCAGCTGACTTATCGGTTTCGGGTTATCATCGGGTCGTTCCTTTGTGTCTATCAAGGCCTTCCCAGATACCTCGTGTAACTACCGCACAGCATGGAAGTCCATTTACGACATCTTTACCGAAAGTTTTACTCAGACAAGGTGTAACAATTTTGCCACATTTTATTTATATGCTTTATATTTGATTTAACACGTTTATTATACTTTATTTAACACGTTCACAATTTGCGAAATTTCACGGATTAATAACGATGTTGAAAAAATACGAACTAATTTAGAGAGTAATACTAAATGTATGTAGATCCCATTTTAAGGCATCGAATTTATTATCTCGCCATTATCTTACGTACTAAAGGTACGGAAGTTTTGTGAACATTTTTATCAGTGCATGATAGTAAGAAAGGGACAAGCAAATTCCAGAAAATGTACCACCCTGTCGATATTCGGCTGTTTCATTGACCAAGACTAATTCTCGAGTTCATAGGATCAACATTCGCGTGCGAAATTAACAGTTTCATATAAGACTTTCAAAAGTTGATTAATGATGGACTTTGCAAAAATGCAATATTTTTCATGGGAATTTATTCGTATGGGATAAAAGTCCGTATGAACTCGAGAAGCGGTTCCCAGTTCTTAGTGTCATGCTTACGTTGGATTATTTGAATGAAACACGCCGGATTATTTCATATAAATGACATTTAAGATGATATAAATTAAAAATGATTATTTCATTTAAATGAGATTTGAGATGATATGAAATAAACATGTCAGATTATTTCATTCAAATGAGATTTGGGATGATATGAAATAAACATGTCGGATTATTTCCTTTAAATGAGATTTGAGATGATATGATTTAAACATGTCAGATTATTTTATTTAAATGAGATTTAAGATGATATGAATGAAATACGTCAGATTATTTCATTTAAATGAAATTTAAGATAATATCAATTAAACATGTCAGATTATTTTATTTAAATGAGATTTAAGATGATATGAATTAAACATAGTTTATTTCGTTTAAATGAGATTTAAGATGATATGAATTAAATCACTGTTATGCGAGGTATCTGAGCGCTTTATCTAGTATCACCTGACGCTCGACCAGTTTTTTGGCCAATCCGTGTTTGGCCACGATGTAGTCGACGAGTCTGTTGTAAGACGAGCCTCGAGACTCGTTTAGGTCGCAAATGGCTTCAATCACGAGATCTATCATCCCCAATTTTCCCATCATGGTTGTCCTCTCGCTGCTCGTCTAGGGGGACGAAGCCATTGACCGTACATGCTCGTTTCTTGACCGTAGTGCATCGACCGAAGCACAAAACAGGGAAACCAGGACCATCAATTTTTCCTCCCCTACATCAGCTAAAATCGCCGATAAAACGTCGGTCTCCTCAGGGATCCTTGAACCCTTAAAAAATGATCCCTTCGAGGATTATCGGTTGAAGCCCGAGAATGGATTCGTACCTGCCGGAAGATTCAGGAAGATCTATAACGTCTAGATGATTCGCATCTTTGGAGACCTACCGAAAAGGGTTCCGATATAAACTAATAAATTCTTTTTGCAACTATACCATGTCGCCTCATTTTTGCGGCTGTCAAACACTGTCAAATTTGGCAGAGGCCCTTCGTAACTTCATTTTGTTTCAATCGAAGTCGAGAGATCCTCGATCAGCTGTTTGACTTTTCCGAGCGCCGTCGAGGGATCTTGGGGTAATTTTCTCTATATAATGTAATTATTCTGAGAAAAACAAAAAGAAAGACTAATTGAACCGAAGAAATATTTCTTTGAATAGTACCAATGATTTTGTTAATTCAAGGAATATCACGAATAAACTCAAATAAATCGTCATAATTTTGTAGAAATCTTCCGTCCAAGTTATTCAAGTTTCTTTGAGTTAAATTCGTTGAATCACCAAAATACTTCTTTGGTACTGCTCAAAGAAATATTTCTCAGATTCAATGGCAATCTTTATTTTTTTTTTTCTTAATGTACTGTCTTTTCTATTGTATTAATATTATGGCAGGGTAATAATTAGTGAAATTTGTGTTGGACTGACAAAAGTGCCCGATTTTGGCGATTGTAATCACGCGTTAAGTAATCCTTGGGGTAAGGATTTCGATCCAACCGACCCTTAGGAGTTTTAGAGGGATTTCGACAAGTCTCCCTCCTGATTTTAACGCGTTCGAAGTAATCGCGAGTGGAGGCTCCGAACCCCTTCTTTCCCTTCATCCCGACGACACCCACTTCCAGGAAGGAAGGGTGGCAGAGCAGCACTTCAGGGCGGATCCTCCTCGACGTAGACTGGAAATATCACAATATTTTCACGTGGAAATCGACAGAGGTTCCCTTTTAAAAAGTGCCGCGGGACCCGGCTCCCTTGGGGATGACGACCTGAATGGTCCAACCCTTCCGACGCTGGTTTAATATTCACCCGAACCCCTTGATGCGGACTCTCTGATTAATGGCCGCTTCTTTGGGGGTGGTTCGTTCGATGTAGGGCCTGCAAATTAATCGACCCTCTTCTGGGCCGTGGTTTCTTTTTGCAAAAATCATCCCCCTTGATTGGAGATCTTTGATATTTTTCACGGCATTTCGGACCGATAAAATCTCACCCCTCTACTTCATGATATCATCCGGGAAATCGTGTATTTTTTTATGATTTCGGCATATTCGTGTCGTGTAATAAAATTATGCAATAGAGGGTTAACATTATCAATCGATTTCTTCGGTAGATCACGTGGGGGTGAGGAAGGGCGATGGGTCTAGGGCAACTACTTTCAAGTCTGCAATTTTTAATAAATAAGAATCATTGCACATTGTGCAAAAAAAAAAGAAAATTTTGCATTTTATATTGCAAGTATTGATCTCACTTGATATAAGTAGATGGACTCGATATTCTCTGCAGATAACGTGGGGGTGAAAAAAGCGATATCCTAGGGTGCTTAGGGTGAGCTTTTTCCATTCTTCTCCTTCGGGGTGTGTAGTGGGCCGCCGTATACATTAAGGTACACATTAAGGTACACACAAAGTACACATAAAAGTACACATTCGGGCGCACATTAACGTAAGCGAAGAGGGAAGGTTTTCCTTTATAAACACACGGACATACGTCGACGTGTGTATTGGAATTGACAACCCCTCTGTTTCTGGCTGCCAATATTGACCGAAGTGACCCACGGGGGATGTGTTCGACGTTGTGGCCGCACCCGCTCTCGAAAAGGGTGTACCAAAGTTTGCCAGTTACTTCAGATCTTAAACAATGGAGTCGAACCTAGGTGCACCCTCTTGGTGGCTTCCTGCCCTCTAGGCAGTTCCCAGGATGCAGCCCCAACCCCGAAAAAGTTAGAGAAAAATCCACTAGTCAAAAGTTTCCCTCGAAATGGTCATCTCGACGAGAGCTACCCCGAAATCTCGAACCGATGTCGAGCGTCCTCGGGATTTTCATCCCTCCAGGTCGAGGGGTTGTTAATCATTGACAAGCGCGATTAAACCCCGACGTTTGATCTCCATGGAGATCACCTTGATCGTGCAGGATTTGTCGGGACGTATACACCGGGCTTAATAATGACGCACTATTGATCGGGGCCAAAACCCCGTTGAAATTCCGTCGCGCACCCTCCATGGGGCTCGCGGGGGATGAAATGGCCAAAGCCGGGTTGTCCGATGTATCGCCTTGCCCAATCGATAGTCACAGTTTTTACTCGCAATTACAGCACCCCGTGTTTCGCAGCATCCCCGAATAAAGTTTAAATTGCGCGAACCACCCTTTTGTAATGCAGAAAGAGAAAAGGTAAATCGTTTCTTTCAATTTCAGGGGGTCTTAAGGGGATGATCTGGGATTTTCTTTCCTTCGGGAAGACGGAATTCTTACCGAGGCTGTATCGCCAGAGGTCCTTGAGGGGTAAATTGCCATTTCTACCCCCGAGGAGGTAGACGTGTCCTGCGAGGAGTGTCGCGCTGTGTTTGCTTCGCGATGGAGGCGCAGGACCATTTTCCGTTCCCGCTGCGGTGACCGAGCTCCACATTTTCCGTCTGAAACCAACGTCAGATGCGACTTCAGTGAACCTTGTCTTCCCTATATACTGTATTTCTTATAACATGGAAGTAAACAATTATTTCTATTTTTTCTTTGTACACGCAAAAACTGTACGTTTGCATGTTAAGTAACCTCGAAATGCACAGCAACGATTTTTATCGAATTTTTCATAAGTACGTTCCTTATGATTTTGCGAAGGACATAGACTTTGTTTTACTACCCTATCACAACAGGAAGTATATTGATAACTATTATATCTACACATAAAGACGTAAGATTGTGCATTCTCATGTGTGGTAATATAAAAATTAATCGCACCGATTCTTATCGAATGTTTATCAAGTAAGTTCCTTATGATCTTGCGAGGGATATAGACTTTGTCTTATTACTTCATCACGTCAGGAGATTTAAACAATATTAATAGAGAAAAAAGAAAATGCATCGAACCAAGGAGATATTTCTTCGAACAATACCAAAGAAATATATTTTTAATGCCAAGAATAATTATTTGGATCAAATAAGTTGTCGCAATTCCGAAGAAACGTCATATACAGTGGATTTTATTTAAGTGAAATAAGTATTCTTCGGATTAACGAAATATTTCCTTTGGTACTATTCAAAGAAATATTTCTCTGGTTCGATGAAATGGTTTTGTTTAGGGGAGTAGATAGTTCTATTTTTTTATTTAAAATGAGTGTTCTTCCTGGAAAACGCTGGGAGGATTCCTCGTCCATTGTGCAATGCAATCCTCCCGAGGGCATGGCCGGCGAGATAGGAAATTAAATGGCCATCTAATAGATACAGACGTCCCTGTAATAGTATCAACCCCTATCTCTGGATCCACCCCCGCGCCGTCTAATTCCCTTACAGCGACGACCCTTGATTTGCTATAGAACTATTCGGTAAATTAATGTCCTTCGGTAACTATACTCCGCGGAATTGTGGTTATCGAGCCGAGATTGGCCGAGGTCGCCGAAATTGGTCTCCCTCTTCCAATTTTAACAAACCCCTTTTCTACGATTAATCCCTTAGATAAATAAGCTATCTGCACGCAGACAAATAATTCAGATTCATGATAACAAATATCATTTGCTTAAGAAAACGTTGAACAGTTGAAAGTGAGCCGGAAACCCATTTTTTTTCCAGACATGTTCTTACTGTACGGCAAACAATAAAATGGGGGCAGCACAAATTCAACTCATTGTTGCGATATTCTTTACTAGCGATAACAAACTGTGCAATGCTCATCTCGTTGTGCCTTAAAAATTCATTCGGTTATTTAGTAATTTTAGAATTAAATAAATTGACTAGTACGGCCAAGGTGGAGGGTAATTTCGGGGTTGAACAACGACCCAAAGGAATAACTTAAATTGGACATTGTTCTCCACTCGGGATTTCAGGGTTTCTTGTGGTCTCAAGAGGGCGTCTCACTCGCCTCGGGGGTGCATAATGAGAAACTAAATATTTACCAGGGGAGGATGCCAATAATTGATCGCCGATTGTCTTCCGGGGTGTAAACCGATCCAAGAAATTTGCACCATTCTCTTGTCATTGTATTTATTCCTGCACTTTATCATAAAAGATACATAAAGGAAGAGTGCAAGTAACGAGGGATGAAGACGTACCCTTACACGGTGTTAAGAAGGACCTCCCCCTATCGAATGATCACTTCAGGAGCAACAAAAGGCGATGACCGGCATCAGACAATTTTTCCACCCCCTGTCATTACTTCCGAGATGCATCTACCTGGGGTTGAATTTATTTATGCACTTTCACGACGAGATATAAATTAAGAAAGAATGCAAGTAACGAGAGATGAAATCGCACCCTTACGCTCGGTAATAAAAGATTTCCCTCTATCAAGCGATCATGTCATTAGCAACAAAAGGCGATGACCGGCATCAGACAATTTTTCCATCCCCCGGGCCATTACTTTCTGAAACGCATCTGGCCGGGATAAATTGAGCTCGTTTTCGGGGGTGGGTCTCTAGCTTAATCGAGGAAAATTCCTCAAGGGGTGCGCAATCGCCCCGTACCATCTCCTGGAATTCCCACCCCACACAGACGTTCATAAAAATTCCTAAAAACCCAAAATCAGCAACATTTCCAAGACGTCCAATCCCACCCCGCGGGGGATGAAACAGTCTGGCCAGAAGATCGCAACCACACCAAGGGTCAATCTCCAGGGTTGAAAACATCCTGGAGCATGTGCCTGCACCCCTTCTTGTAATTACGAGTCGCTCCGTCGAAATCGAATTCCGGTAAGCGGATGCACCCCTCCAGCTTGCCAAACAGGCGTACGCAAATAGTACGCAGCAATACGTTCCCCCCTTGGGGGTTTGGGGGGGTAACAATGCGTTTCCAAGGGTAGCACATACTCCGGATGATCCGAAACGGGGGTTTGGACGAGATTTCCAGGCGGGCGTAAATACAAGATCCGCATTTTCCCTCGCAACCCCCTCTTGGGGGTGTGGCGCCATTCCCGGGTTCGCCACCCCCTCGCCCCGTGGAAATGCAATTTGCGGCATTTCCAGAGCGGGGCTGGGTGGAAATTTATCTCCCTGGGAGAAAGCTACCCCCCAGGGCGATCCGAAATTCCGCTTTTTCGGGTCCGTTTGAGTGGCGGTCTCTCTGAAAGAGTGGAGGTCTATTGATCGTCCGATCCGCAAAGGGGCACGTACGACCCTAAGGTACTGTCGGCCTCGTCGTAATGTATGGAAATCTTATAAATCCCAAGGAGGACGTCGGGTTCCCAGGGGCGGATCTCTCGAGGTCGCCATCGGGGTCGTAAGAACGACGCCAGGGTGCAACGAACGAGGCGCACATTGTCTCGGGCATAAACGCGTCATGTATTATGCATCTTGCTCCCCCCGGGAAATGTTTACCCGTGTCACTGAGTTCGCGTTGAAGAAACAAGAAATGGAGAATTCTGACAAATGCCTAACAGCTGACGAATTATGCGACATGCTGGGGAGATCTCCATTGGTCCAGAACAGCTCATTTAAGAAATTTGAGAAGTTAGCCCTAGGTAGCTCTAGGTAGTCCTAGGTAGCCCTAGATAGCCCTAGATAGCCCTAGATAGCCCTAGATAGCCCTAGCTATCCCTAGCTATCCCTAGCTAGGTCCAGACCTATTAGGTTGAGGAATAAGTTCCCGCCGATTTTAACGCAACGTAACGTAATTAAGACGGCGGAAATTTAGCTCTCGACATAATAGATAGGGCGCTAACTTATCAATGTAGGGGCTACTCTAGAATGCTACTTTTCAATGTTTATGGTTTAGGTGACAATAAGGAATCCTAAATTGGCTCGATATAGGGATAATCGGACGAAATTGTGTCGATAAATTGTTAAATGTTAAGTGCACCCTAGATAGAAGGCGATAGGGAGAGTCTAGATAACGTTGTCGTGCCAAATTGAATCTAAACCGGGTCTCGGCATGGCATTAACCAGGGAAAATTGTGTCAGATAGAGGACCAAGTTCTAGCTAGGGCTGGGATCTCCTAATATGGGGGTCTTAGATCAGAGTCTAGATGTACAAGACCCCCCCATGTAGAAAATTTCTAACAGCTAATTCGGACACCAACCTATCAACATAGGGCTTTCCTCGGAATATCATACTTTTCCATATCCGCCCTAGCTAGGCGTTAACGAGAAAACTCAGAAGAAAAAAAATGATCTTCGATGCCGCGTTAACCCTCAACCAGGTCTTAACTTGGCGTTGACGAAGAAAAATCGTCTCGGATGGAAGAGTAAGTTCTAATTAGGGCTCACCTTTGCTAGGGTTAAGAAACCTCACCGCTAATTCGGACACCAACCTATCAACATAGAGCTTTCCTCGGAATATCATACTTTTCCATATCCGCCCTAGCTAGGCGTTAACGAGAAAACTCAGAAGAAAAGAAATGATCTTCGATGCCGCGTCAAGCCTTAACCAGGTCTTAGCTTGGCGTTTACGAAGAAAAATCGTCTCGGATGGAAGAGTAAGTTCTAATTAGGGCCCATCTTTGCTAGGGTTAAGAAACCCTAGAGTGGAAGTCCTAGCTAGGGCCAGGATGCTATCCGGGGTTTCCTAGCCAGTTTTCCACCCGAAAGGAGACCAATCCATTTGGTTATCAGTCGAAGTCAGGACATCGGTACTGGAACCGGAAAACGCGTGAAATTGGAGCCTGAGAAAGGGATTTAAGGGATGATGGATCATCCCGTGGATCCGGCTGGAGCTACGTTTCCCCAATCAGCTCCGGTGCAGCAATCAGCTGATCCACGAGCGCCGCGATGCGCGATAATGCAGGCGGCGCTGAAAAGCTCCCCGAGCTTTTTCATTTTCCAGGCCGGCACGCAGGCGTCCGTTTTTTAGGTGAACGCCCTGGTGGAACAACGGGCTAGATGATTTGCCCAGCCTCCCGAGAGGGCTTTTGTGGCTCCCGTAATTCCGGCCTGGTTGGTCGAGTCTCCCAGAAGCTGCTCTGCAGCATCTCGCCCGATCCTTGCGAATGTCGCACAGGGCATAAACAGTGCATTACCGACGCCTGTTAAGAGCCCCTTTTAGAATTCGCTTCCGGGGCCGCTTTTAAGGGAGGACCCTTTCAGCAGGGAAGTAGGTGAACCAGTTACGACCTATCGCGTGCAGAGCCGCTCCAATCTGCATTTCTTATTTCAAGCTTGCAGCCCCGACAAATGCGAGCCGACGTACGAGGGATTGCATCCGAGTCTTGGTTGGGTCGCCTTCCTGCAGTTTCTCATCAGAACTTCTGGATATTTATCAGGGCGACGGGACTCGAGATTTATTATTTATTGCTCCGCCTTATCACCCCGTTTGGCGTCGCATTTATGAGTCTCGAACGTCCCGGGGTTGAGATATTAGGTAAGTTTCGAGAAGCCCCTTTCGCCATCTCGACTTAGGGGCGCGTCGGAAATGTTTTTCAACCCTCGGGGACGCTGCCTTATCGACCGGGCCAGGCTTTATTCCAGATGTCCGAGGTGAATTCAG